TTTATGAAGATGTTGAAGAGCACTGGCCCAAGACAGAATCTTGAGGTACCCCACTGTATGCTTCCCTCACTTAAATGTAGTTCCATTGAGAATCACATGCTGAGTGTAGTTGGTCAGTCAACCACAACTCCATCTGGTAGTGGTCCAGTCTATCTTATGTTGTTTACCAAGAAGTAGGTAGCGGTCTACTTTATAAAGTGCCTTATTGAAGTCAATGTAGAATTTATCCACAGCATTTCCTTGATTTACCAATTTACTCAGTTCATCAAAGAAGGCAATAAGATTTGTTTGGCATGATCTCCTTTTAACAAATCCATGCTGGCTTCTAGTAATTACTTTGTTCATTTCTAGGTCCCTCCAAATCTGCTGCTTATCTTTTCCAGGATTTCCCCAGGTATTGATATCACGCTGTAGTTTCCTGGATCTACTCCCCCCCTTTTTGTTTGTGCCCAATCCTGATTGGTTATTTTGTTGCTATTAGTTCCTGATTGGTCCTTTGTTCATGCTAGCTTCTGATGTCACTGAAGCTATCAGTCATAGTTGTTGGCGAAACACCAGGAAATGGTCTGCCATCCTGCTCAAATCCTGCTGCTACTCTTATGCTGGGTTCTAGAATATGACTTCTTGTCTCTCCTGGCCCTGCAGTGTGTGCAGTCCCTTGCTGTCCTCATGGACCTCTTCTTGTCCTGCCATCTTCTATCTGATCTATCAACGCTGGTTATAAGCCTTGCTTCTGCTGCAAGATTCCTACTTGCTTGTTACCAACACTGCAACCTGCAATATCCCCACTTTCTTTGTCCATTACATATCCATCTCTGCTCCAAGGTCACATTGCTGCTTTTGACCTTAGAACCTACTGTGTTGGTTTCCTATCTAACTGCCTTTTCTTTGGAGGAGATTTTATTCTTCTGCAATTACTAAGTGGGGAAAAAAGATTGCTGGGCTATTTGAATATGCCTTATTGACATATGTTGACAGTTCATCATGTTTTCCTACTGACTGGGCTACACAATTGTAATCCCATCTACAAACAACAACAAACCAAAATAAGTGCACCATAAAATTCATAATTGGCAAATTAAGAGGAGGTGTATACATAATTATCAAGCAGGTGCATACATAAATACTTTGAAGGGGTCTACGACAACTCACCATCGCCAACTCACTGTGGGACAACTCCCACAGAACAAGAGTTGCACTAATATCGAAGAAATAGTGGAATATAATAATTAAAGCAGTGGTTCTCAACCTTTTTAATGCTGCGACCCCAACCGGTCGTAAGTTGAGGACTAAACCGGTTGTAAGTCGAGGACTAAACCGGTCGTAAGTCGAGGACTAAACCAGTCGTAAGTCGAGGACTACCCAACCGGTCGTAAGTTGAGGACTTTCCCTGCCCGGGAGCGCCGCGCATGCGTGGTTCTGCCCCCTGCGCCGGCCGAGGCGTAGCTGGCAAGCGGCAGAGACGGAGCAGGCCGACCACCAGCTGGCCCATCCCAAGGGAGGTAAGGCACCCGCCGGAAAAGGGGGAAAAAAATGGCGGACAAAAAAAATGGACAAAAAAAATGGCGGACAGCCTTGCTTGGCGACCCCCGTGAAATGGTCGATCGACCCCAAATGGGGTCCCGACCCACAGGTTGAGAACCACTGAATTAAAGAAAGGATGCCAAAGGAGTGACAAAATGAAATTTGAATAACAAAAATTAAAATAATGTTTAATTATTTTAAACAATTAAATTGAATTGTTGAATTATCCCACGGTGAGTTGTCCGGTGGTGAGTTGGCCATGTTGAGTTGTCCCGCAGTAAGTTGGCCATGGCAAGTTGGCTGCAGTGAGTGGTCCCATTCTGACTTTAAAGTGCAGTTACAGGCCTCACTATTCTGGGGAAAACATGACTTACATTTGGCAAGTGTTGATCATTATAACGTTTTAGCTATCTTGAGATTTCCCATTCAGATGGAGCTCACTTTATCCATGCTGTATGCTGTATGCAAAGTCTTTATAGCCAAGGACTTTTCTCAGCTTCTTTAAGCCTTTTTTTTTTTTTTTTTTTTTTTTTTTTTTTTTTTTTTTTTTTTTTTTTTTTTTTTTAGAAATCTTGACTTCCTAGAATCCATTTAGACTTCCCATTTAGTCTATTAAAACTTGCAATTCTAAAATGAGTTCAAAATATTGATTTATGTTTAGAGACAATCTTGATCTCTGGATACTGAACCTTGGTAGTAGCTTTTTAACTTTTGCTAAAGTTAACTCCAAAAATTCATTAGTTTTTGGAGATTGTTTTAAGATGACCTTAAAGTTATTGACAAGCTTCACTTCCTATGCATCTTATTGGAGAACCGTTGCCCGTTACACTTTGAAAATACCAATATTCTTAAGAATATTTGGGACATTGATCTTCAAATCTGGTTCTCAGCTTCTTACTTGATGGGTTTTTTTCAAGTGGGTATGTGACAGCCTCCAACTTCTCTACCATCAATATTCTGAATTTTTTTCTGGGCTTTTAGTTTGGCCAGACTGGGCACATTGCTTTCTGCTAATGGAACATTACAAAAATATTATTAGCTATTATCAGGAACAGCTCAATACAGGTAGTCCTTGGTTAACGACTACTCGTCCAGCAATTGTTTGAAGTTACAGTTGTACTGAACGTGTGGTATTTATAACTAGTCCAAAAAGTTCTGACTATCTGAGCACCCATATGACTGTGATCTGAGTGCTCACACTAAGAAAGTTTTCAGCATTCCACCGTTAAGAATTTGCAAAGTTCCCTGCCAACTTCCCAAAATCAAAGTCATTGGGGAGGGATGCTCTCCATCACTCTAGTAATTCTCCCCATTTCCAGCCTGGTCATGTTCCTGCTGCACTTCACTGATCACTTGGACACCCTCCCTCACATGGCAGCAGCACCTACCTGCATGCTTGTGAGCTGCCTGGAACTTGTGACTTCCTGCTGGCTTCTCCTTCCTCCATAGCAGAAAATTATGTGGAGGTCCTTGCTTAATGATAGCAACAGGGATGACCGTGATTACTGTTGCTAATTGATGCAATCACGTGACATCACATTTTGTGACTGCATCACTTAGCAATGGAATTTACAATTCCAATTAACATCATTAAGCGAGGATTGCCAGTGGAATCTTTGGGCCGTAAGCTCCTTTATTACTCTCTATATAGGAAATTTCAGATGGCTTTTATCCATCCTATCCTGAAGAGATTCCCTGACACAGCGTGAGTTCTATTTGCTATTTCTCTTGTCTTACAATTCGTTGGATATATTCTCCCAGTTTGCCCAACTGTGTTCTTCCATATGTACCATCCTACCCTCCTTGTGTTTGAAAAATTGTATTAATTTCTTATACATACGCACAAACATATATTACATTTTTAATTGTTTGTATTTGACTGCTGGTTTTATGGCTGTGATAAACGTTTGATTTGCTTTAATTTGATTTGATCTGATTTGATGCCTGCCTACCTCTTCCCATCCCTTTAGCTCATGCATTCCCTGCTCCCTTTGTGGATCTGGGATTTGCAATTTCTCTTAATTTGACTGAAAGCTATTTAGAGAATTACTCAAGGATTGAAAATGAATGCCTTGCTTTTCCTTTATTTCATACCTTTATTTCACACCTTCATGCCTCTACCTATACTTCTAATTCTCCTTGCTTTCATGCTATGACTGTTTTATATTGTTGCCAGGACACTGAATATCTCACCTTCATTATACTGAAGCTACCATTTGCTCCTTCAAATGAAAAAGAGAAAGAAAACTGTTGTGAAGAGAGAGGCCATAGAATATGCAGAGACTTTCACAGTGTCACTTTTGAAACTGACAATAATCTGCAAAGCAGCTTTTTCTAAAGTGGTCTTGAACATTAAAATAAATTTACAATGGTATAAATACATGTGTAATGGATAAATAAATAAATAGGTATCATAAGTGCCTAATGGAAGCCATAAAGATGTTATTCATGACATGACATCATTGCAATAATGGTATGAATTACATAATTTGTGTAAGGAACATCACCTACTGTATATAGAATCTGATTTGCATATGTGTGTGATGACCTAATGACATGTATGGCATGCCCACTTATAAATGCCTCTGAACTATATGAAGAATTCATTTCCTTATTTTTTTCAAGAAAAATTATAAGGAAATATGTAAATAGGAGAGAAATATATACAGTAATATAGAAATTACAGCAAATGTGATTAAAACACTTCTTGAAATATGATTAACAATTGATTGGTTTTATCATCCTCCTAATAAGAAGGTACAAACGTATAAAGATGATCTTTTAATAATGTAGAGATTATTGAAGTGAGCTAATGAAGTGCATTTTTATAGTCTAAGCACTGACTCAGTATAATAAATAAACTGTACCACTCCTTTGAAACTATTAAAGCAAACCATATTAATTGGTAGCATGCTAAAATAAATTAGTTCATTGAAAGTGCTAGTGAGGCCCCATAATGAGTTTCACTATTAAATCATTTTAAGGGCCAGTTGTAAGGGTAAACTGAGGTATTTTCATTTATATTCCATGACATTAGGTAATATAATCCGATATACTCTAATGGGAGACGAATTGAGATTAATGGGATTTACTTTCAGTTAAGGGGTTATAAGTTTGCATCATACTGTTTTTTAAGTGGCTTTATTTTAACTTGCATTGTACATAAAGAAGTGTCTTAATAAAGGCATTGGAAAGGACCTGAACATTAAACAACTGTGAATAAGGACAAACACGTCTTCAGGACATGCCAGTCACAATGTGAAGCAAGTCAAATAAAAATTTTATTAATAGAGGAACATAACGAATGTTTACAGATTTAATACATCAGTTTTAACACTTGCTTTTAAATAAATGTGTTCTTGGTGTATGGCACTATTTAAAGTTGTGTGTCTTTGTTTTAATTTTGGTCTTTTAGTTTCTAGTGTGTTGTCTTTTTGGCTTTGTTTTACTGCTTTTTCTTTAATTTTGCTTACCAGAGCCAAAGCCTTAGTAGAAGAACAGCGCCTTTTGTTCCTAGGGTTCAGGTAAAGGCTTAATCTGCCTGACAGAAACTAAAGTTGTTGTTTTTTTTGGTTGTTGTTGTTTTCTTGGAAAATGGATAGTAGGAAAATGTCACAGTTGGTCCGTTTTCCCATTTTAATTTTGAATGTGTTGTTTTAGACCATCTTAACAAATATCATATTGTCTTGTGTACAGCTTGAAAAATATTGCATGGATATTAGAACCCTACATTGAAATTTAAAGAGACAACTAGCTTTTAATTTTATCTATGTTTAAACAGCCATAGACATTAATATATATTAATAGTAATAATAATTTTGAAACTCTTCTGCAACTATGTACCTTGAAATAAGTAATCTGTTCTTTTGATATTTGTTCTTGTATATTAAAGTTGATGTCTCTTTAAATCATTGTTCTTTTTTTTTGCATTTTCTAAATGACATTTCCTTGAGAAGATGGGCAAATAAATTTGTCCTCATCTAAGAAATTTGTATCTGCAGGCATTATAAGATGTTAATTAAAATTGTGAAATAAAAATGATTATAATTTTTTGTTGTGAAGTTTAGTGTTGATTATATTTGCCTGTTTTATTCAAATACAAATTGTTTGCCCTTTCTCATTAGTTATTCCTTAAGATACTATAGATTAACCAGCCTGTAGATTGTATAAGAATGTCATTATGCTTATTTTGCTTTGCTGCATGCTTTCTTTTTTATTTTATTTTTTTTAACATGAAACATTACTCATTTTTATAATATTCAGTGATTTGGAATTTAGACATGATATGTATAGTTCAATTCCTAATAAATCCAGCTTAGTTGAGAAGTTTAATTCTCCAACAATAGTCCTTGAGAAATATTATATTACAAGCCACTCACTTGGAGGTTATTAAAATCAGGCTACATTTGAGCAGTATATAGCACAATATTTGAGTTGAAATTAAGAAGTTAGCATGGCATATTTTGATTATCCACAAAGACATTCATTGGATCAAAACATCATCTGATATTAATGAAAATAACAAGTTACAGGTAGTCCCTGACTTACAATTGGTCACTTAGTGACTAGTCGAAGTTCCGACAGACCTACCTAGTTGGGTACTAACAACCTGAATTTGAAGTTCTGGCAGTTGCCCCCTTCCCCCCTGTTCATGTGACTGCAACTGAGCTGCATTTTTGGCCATTTGAAGCATCCTATGGTCATGTGACTGAATGTTATGACAGTTTTGCTGAAAACCAGGATTTACTTCCAGTTTTTTGGCAGATGGCACCTATAGTGAATTCTTGGTTGTCTTGACAACCATGGCAATTTGCTTAACAACTGCTGCAAAAAAGGTCCTGAAGTTGGATCAGTCACATGACAAATCTGTTTTACAACCACCATGAGTTACAACCATGATAGGCAGATTTCATCACAGTCATAACTCGAAGACTATTTGTAATCCAATTAAAAGTGGCATGGCCAGACATAGTTACACTTTTCCATATAATGTAGGAAAGAATCAACAGTCCATGAAGAAAACTTCTACTTCATTCAAAACCATCAATTATCTTAGCGGAAGAGTGATAAACTTTTTTTTCATCCTGCATTTGGTTTTAATAATTGTAGATCAGGACATATCTATATGGTCATTTGACTTTAAACATTTTTCTATTTTTCTATCTTAGCAGAAATTTGTTGGGTATGTATAATGCTTAGGCTAGAATAGCTAATTAATTGTTTACCACTTTACATGAATTTTAAGCTATTCCAAATTTGGGAACTAAAATTTAAGATAAGATTTTAGAGGAAAAGAAATCTAGAGCTATGTAAGGGATTAAATAATATTTTCAGTGTGCAGAATGGAGTGGTAAAATGGTAACTATATATTTGAAGAAAATATCTGTAAAACCATTTTACAGATAGATGATTGTATTGTATAAAGTCCATAGAGTTCACAACTGTATTTCAATGTACAAAACATTTAATATAGCATTTAAGCACTTTGTGCTTTAAATGAAACCTTGACTCAAACATATCTATAAAATTCAGTGGCATACATAGGTTTATACTATCAGACAGCCAAATTAGAATATTCATTGCAATAATAAAATACAGTGTAGATTAAGCATTTCATTTATCTTACATTTACTTATTTTACCTAATATTTTTTTTTTTTATTTTGCCTAATTCATAATTTCTCTTTACAGATAAAGTTGTGGTATGACAAAGTTGGCCATCAATTGATAGTCACAATATTGGGAGCAAAAGATCTTCCTTCAAGAGAAGATGGGAGACCAAGGAATCCCTATGTTAAGATTTACTTTCTTCCTGACAGAAGGTACCATGAACAGAAAGCTTATATGATTAAATGTGGGAATTGTTACAAATGAATTTCTGTGAATAATAGCTAACAAAATATAACTATATGATATATAATGATACAAATCTGTTAAATATAAAAGGATTTTATCAGGGCTGATCTGTTAACAATAATGAAGGATTGCCGTATCCCTCATTTAACCCTTAAGTCAAAGGAAGGGAGTGAATGAATGAATGAATGAATAAATAAACACATAAATGAGATGCACTGATATGCTTCCTCAGATTATTGTCTTTATGGATTATTCCTGTAGTATAAATGTTTATCGGTGTGGACAGCGACTGGTTGAACAAGTTCCATTTCCAAAATCAATAATATATCATGGAACGCTGTCTTTGACCTGAAGGGGTGCTTAATGGGAAACCTTGCTGCTTTCATTCACTGCGATCAACACACGGAAGATTCCAAACTTGTTGCAAAGCAGGGAGAATCTAAGAGACTATGGTATTCTTGTCCAAAGTTCAGGACAGCTCAAATATAGTGGAAAAAAAACTATAGAAGGGACTGTAGAGGGAGGGAGGGAGGGAGGAAGGAAGGAAGGAAAGAAGGAAAGAAGGAAAAAAAGAGAAAGAGAGGCAAAAGGATTTCTATTTCCCATATCTCTTATTTCTTAAGAACAATAATACAGTTATTTTTCATAATCCTTTTATTAATTTTTAGAATTCAGTCTTACTGTACTTTCAAATGGTCATTGCCAATTTGTCCTTCTGTATTTATTTTCACCCTCAGGCCAATAAAGTGCTACTTAAATTAAAACGTAATTCTTTTTCTAAGAATTCTCACTCTGTATTACATTACAGGTGTTATATTAAATATTTTGAAATAAAATTTAAATACTACTTAAATTTAAATAGTATTTATTTAACAAAAAGTTTGCATGATGTTGAAATGTTTGTTAAATGTACCAGTTTCTCTATATTGACATTTCCCAATTTGCATTAATTGTTGCAATTACAATCATTTTAATGTTTCCATTTTGTATGTTGTTATCTTTTTGGTTAGGTTCTTGAAATAGGGGAGTCTCAAGGTAGGGTACTAGGGAATTAGGCATAATAGTTAAGCTTAGACCTTTGAACATTACTAAAAATGTTAATGGCATAATATTTTTGTCATTTACAATAATATATTCTTTAGATTATTTGCCAGACATTATTTTGACATGAACACTTTCAATACTTGCACACTTATTTTATAAAATGTTTCAATTTATCTACTAAAATCTGTCATGTCAAAAATATTGCTGATGTTTTATAACTATTTTGATTAAAATATAGTATTTTTTGTGGAGTGAAAGTTTTTAGTGAAATGAAAAAGGAAAAAAAATCTGCAGCAAATAGCATCTGAGGCCTATTGCCAATCCATTGTTAGTATTGTTTTGATAGTTGAGTTCAGCTTATTTTGGAAATATTCATGTGCTTCAAACATCTCAACCAGTGTGGTGCATAGTAGCATATCCATAGTTTTCAGAATATTTGTAGATATTTGTGTGAAGTGAGTGAACTTTTTCAGTGCATAAACTGATAGCTTGTACATTAACTACTATTCAAGGGGAGCAATTTATGAATATTCTTTATGATGCTTCCTTGACAATAATTTTCCTAAAAATATATCTCTTTGATTTTGGCTCAAAGTGCAGAACATATAAAAATAATTAAATGAGAATCATTGAGCATACTGATTTTGTTTACAATATCCTATTTGTAATAATCAGGATTTTCTACAAATATTGTGGAATAAGTAATCATCTCAGAAGTCCAATTTCAGGAATTTTACAAAAGGAATCAAACTCATCCTTCTCATTAAAAATATTATTTTTACTATTCTTTGTAATATCAACATTTTTAATATGTACTTCTTAATTACAGTGATAAAAATAAAAGAAGAACAAAAACAGTAAAAAAAACATTGGAGCCCAAGTGGAATCAAACATTCATTTATTCTCCAGTTCATCGGAGAGAATTTCGAGAGCGAATGTTGGAAATTACTCTTTGGGACCAAGCTCGTATTCGTGAGGAAGAAAGTGATTTTTTAGGAGAGGTAGTCAATGCTATTTATTGTTTACAAGGAATAAATATTTGATGTTATCCCCATAGGCACAAAGATACAGTAAAAGAACAATAATGCATCACATTTTTCCTGTTGCAATCTTTTTTATATACAGTACTTTGTAACTATTTTTGAAGCTGTTCACTTTCCATTAACTTAAGTAAATATACAAATACCACCTAGTACATATTTTATACAACAGTTAAAGCGCAAATGATGTGTTTTACTTGAACAGTTTTTATTTTATTCTCTTTTTTAGATTCTTATTGAATTAGAGACAGCATTGCTGGATGATGAGCCTCATTGGTACAAACTTCAGACTCATGATATGTCCTCATTGCCACTTCCCCATCCTTCCCCATATTTGCCACGCCGACAGCTTCATGGGGATAGCCCCACACGAAGGTTGCAAAGTAGGTTATAGAATACTATTAGTTTGTGTTCATTCCTAATGACTAATTGAAATGCTTTGTTCTGGAGTGCAAATTTATACAATAATAATATAGTATCTCTTCTGTTTTTATAAACTAATTTATATATATTGTCCACATGTTTGAGAGTCAGGAAAAGCTAATGTGGAGAATTCATTGTATTTTAAGAAATGTATTTGTTTTCTCTAGTTCTCTTTTGTTCTCTTGCCCATTTATATTATATATAGTATTACTTTCTACCATGTAGCTGTCACAATGCAATTGTGGCCTTTACAACAATTTAAAAATACAGGTAATCCTTGATTAATGACAGTAATTTCTAACTCCATTGCTAAGTGATGTGATTGTAAAACACATCACCTAACCATCAATGATAGTTCTGGCAGTTCCAGTTGTGATTATTCAGTGAATCCCAATCATTAGGTGTGGTGTCATGTAATTGCTGTTGTGACTTCCTGCTGGCTTCCCCATTGCTTGTCAGAAGTTGACAGTGAAAGTTACAAATGGTGATACATGACTTCAGGATACTGTGACTGCAGCCACTTTGAGAATGGCCATAAGTCTCCTTGTTCAGCATCATCATCCCTTCAAATAGTTGTTGAACAAATGGCTGCTAACTGAGGTACCTGTATTGGAAAAATGAATATTTATAATAAAAAAATATTTGGAGGATTCAGTCATAGATTTTGAACAAAAAAATCAAATTGTAATACACTGATTTTTTTTAAAAAAATTGAAATGATTTGAAATGATTTTTTAAAAAATATATCTATAAGATCCATGAATATAAATCTTATATAAATTTAAAAACTTCTTTTACATTATGCTTCCCTTCCCTTCACAAATATGTCTAATATGTCTTCCTTAAAATCATTAAACTTCACAAAAATTCCTTGTAACTACATGTCAACATGTATATAAAAATATGATTATGTTTGTTAAGCAGTAGATTTAAAATCCGTGAACATCATTCCAAGATCAGTTGGATTCCTTGACATTTCCTTGTGGACAGAAAAAAAAAAGAAATAGCAATAGCAATAACATTTAGACTTATATACCACTTCACAATGCTTTACAGCAGGGGTGTCAAACTGCCGGCCTGTGGGCCGGACGTGACATGTGGAAGCCATGCCCACCCCATTGCCGGCAATGGCAAAACTGGCCCGATAAGTTGCGCGATGTCACATAACGTCACAAGTTTGAAATGCCTGCTTTACAGCCTTCTCAACAATTTGGGTCCTCATTTTACTGACTTTGGAAGGATAGAAGATTGAGTCAACCTTGAGCCAGTGATATTCAAACTGCTGGCAGTCAGCAATCAGCAGAATTAGCCTGCAATACTGCCTTCTAATACTGTGCCACCATGGCTCTTAAAAGTTGTTTGTGCCTCTGTTTTATATCCAAGTCTTATCACCCATAGTCACAGTGGAATTAGGCAGCTTATACATTTAACAAACAAAAACAAATCTAAATTTAGTAGATTATGAATTATGAAATGCAGTTCATACAGGTGAGCAATTCAGTATGTGAAGAATGGAACGTGAGCCCTGTTCTCTAAACCAGACTGCCTCTATCTTTTACCCTGGAGGAATCCTTATAGTATTTTAGGTCTCAAGGAACCTTGCATAAAAATTACAAAAAAAATATATATGAAAAGTTCATAATAAAATTCACTTCTAACATACACAATTTTCATTTTATAATATTTACAACAACAGCAAAGCAGTAGGCCAGAAACTGATTATGCAACATGTAAAATTCTCCACCATTTCAAGGATCTAGCATTGTGTGATGCATAACATTAAAAAAATGTTTCTCTTTTTGTTTTCAAACATGATCTCATGCTTCTTTTAATTTTTTGCTTTCTTTTATACAATAAGTGGTTTGGGCATGTTATGCTAATGTGCTTATTTGAATAGATTCCGTATGTGGTAATATGTAATGTAACAGAACAGTAGTCCATGAGGGGTCCTTGGTGGTCTCTGAGCTTGCTTGTTTTCTTGCAGACGTTTTATTATCCAAACTCGGTAACATCATCAGTACTAGGGTAATGAAACGTCTGCAAGTAAACAAGCAAGCTCAAACAGCACCGAAGACCTCCCATGTCAACCCTGAGCTACAAATATTCACCTTTATTAGAACAGTAGTCCAGTCCAATTATTCCAGTAGTGAATAATTAGGGAATAATTCAAAATTTCCATCATAGCTTACCGTCCTAGATTTTAAAATATTTTTCTATAATATTATTGATTTTTAGTGGGGCTGAATCATAGCTTACTGTGGTATGTCAATTAGGTAAAAACTATGTTTTCCATAAATACTTTAGATCCATACAAAAGCATGAACACTTTGAATTGGGACTTGCCCTCTGGTTTAGAGGCAAGTTATGATGGCTTTAGAGCTGCCTCATTTTAAAGCTATGGCAGAAGGAATTGGAATACAAAAAGCCGATCATGAGAATTAAAGGTGCCTAATCCTCATTTGGGCATTATATGTATCTTTAAGAAATAGAACAATACTTTTAATGAACCCTCTCAAGTCTCATGTAGGTGGCAAAATCAAGAAAGAAGTAACATTGCAATAAAAAGTCTTTAATACTAGTTCATGATAAATACAGGTCCTTGGAAACAATAATAGGAATTTCCCAGGGGTTTTGTGTAGTGAGTTAAGGCAGACTCTCTTTGAAATTCATTAGTTCAGAATTTGGTACCATCACTGCAAATGATTTATTGCAGTGTGCTCTACATGGGGCTGATCTCAAAGTCCATTGGGAAGCTATAGTTGGTAGAAAATGCAGTGGTTTGCAAGCAGTAAGGGACGCTTCTTATTATACCCATGTGTCACCATTAGCTGCACTATTTTCCAGTTGGCTTCCAGTTGCAATTTAAGGTGCTGGTCATTACTTATAAACTCATAATTCATGTCTGCTCTGTCAAATAAAAATAGTGGTTACGCTTAATTATACACAACCTTTCAAATTAAGTACATTTCTGTTACATGTCAAAACCTCATATCACTTCGTTTTAACATTTTCCAGATAAAGGCTCATATTCATATAATCCAGGTAATTTAAAAGCATGCCATTTATTGCTTGTGAGTTTTTTTCTAATGTTATTGATGTGCTTCTGCTATTTGTTGTGTTCCAGTTCAGTTGCTTATATGCTCTTTTGATTTTTATTCTGTTTTCAGAAATTAGCCTTTATTCTTGCATTATTTCTAATCGTACAGTAATTGCTAGTGTTATAAATAGTTGTCTAAAAAAATAGAACTGCTTTCTAACTCTTCATTTATTGTGTTTCTATGTAAAGATAATATACTAATATTGATGTTAATATCTCGATAGTACTTTATGACAATTTGTGTTAAATTTAAAAATCATACTAATATACTAACTTTTTGCTTATAATTCCTTACTGATAGGAATTATGGATTGATTATGCCTCCCTTATTGAGTGGTATTAATCATATATTATAAGTTTATATATACACTTATAAATAATTCTCTTCCAACTAGGTTTTTTTAACTCAGTAAATAACTAATCTTATTTATAATAATCATAGCTCTACATTAACATTTTTTCTTGATAACTGTTGCAAGCTTGTTTTGAATCAGAAATTTGATTAGAAATGGATTAACTTGAACCTCTGAGATATATTGTGTTTAAATGAAATCAGCAGAACAAGTTAAAACATAGAATTGGATACTATTTCCTAAATCAATTCAGCAAATAAATACATCCAATTTGCTGTTTGTATTAAAGGATCAGATTAAATCAACCTTCCTTTAAGGCCCTAAATGGCTTTGGACCTGGTTTTGTGAGGGACCACTTTCTCTTCTTTCAACTGCTTGTTTATCCAGGTTAAATTTCATGTCCTGGCTTCAGCAGAAAGACAAACATTCATGCAAGCATAGTGTGTATGATTATGTAGGAGGCTTGAGAAGGTACTCAGGCCAAGCATATAGTGGAGAAAAGGTTCAGTAGAAGAAGTATTGATGGGAAGTGAGGTAGAGTACATATACTGATGGTTGGAACAGTGCAATTCTGGCAAGACTTGTGGATGCATCAGGGACTGGGCACACACTGGGTTTGATTGCAGAAGCAGTGGGGGGAAGATGAAGTAGAAGCACAAGGAGAGTATGGGTATGGGCATGCGGGAGTATGTGTGGAATACAAAAGAAGAGTGATGTTAGAAAAGGCAAATGAGGAATGTGTATTTGGTACTTACTGGTGTCTGAGGAGAAGATGTAAAATTGGACCATTTAGTCTGTAATCTAAAAAAACACACAATGTTTTGGAAGAATCATGAGACAAGCCAGAGACTTGGTCAGGAACCTGCTGAGGTTGAGAATAGGAGTCAGAAACAAGAAAGCACAAAACATGGGAACAGGAAGGCAAATGCTGAAGTTGCTTCCAGCAATGAAAGGCAGTCCCTGCACAGTTTAAATCCTTACCCATTGATCACACAGTTGAAGCTTTTCTTGCTCAGTATTGGCAATGATAAGATTTTTCCCCCCACTTATTAGTTTTTAATAATAAAGGTTACCACTGAAGTTCTTTCTCTTCTGATTTTTTAGTGAGCTCTTTCACAACCAAAAGAATGAGCACATAATTCTGAGAAAATACTGAGGACAATTTGAAGAGTCAAATATTGCCTTCTCTTTAATCTCTGTTGCTCATATATAAAGATCCCTACTCTTTCACGACAGAATACAGAATAACAAAGTTGGAAGGGACCTCGGAGATCTTCTAGTCCAACCCCCCTCTCTCCCACTTAAATGGAACTCTATACCAGGGGTGTCAAACTGCCGGCCCACAGGCCAAATGCGTCATGAGGAAGCCGCACCCACCCCATTGCCGGCAATGGCAAAACAGTGCCAATACGTTGCATAATGTCACGTGATGTCATAAGTTTGACATGTCTGTCTTATACCATTCTAGACAAAGGGCTATCCAATCTCTTCTTAAACACCTTGCCAAGAAATCTGCAGGGACTTGTTCAAAGGACAAAAAAAGCTTTAAATGCTAGGTTAAGAAGAAATACAATTAGAGTTAACCATAAGTGTCAAAGGAGAGATCAGTAGACTGCGATAAAAGAGAGCAAAGAAAATTTGCATCATAGATAAAAGGAGGAAAATAAATATATCAGGGTTATTCCTATTTCCTCAGTTATGATTGAGCATATATGATCTTGTATAACTATATGTTTTTAAAAAGTATTTTCATATCATATATGCAATCCCAATGAGGATTGTGTTTTCTGTTTCTGAACAGTAAAGCTCTTTTACTGTTGACAAGTCAATTATATTTGGTTCGTTGCAAATATTAGGACATCTCTTGTGTACAAGCAGATAAAATGGTAAGCCAGAGCCAAATATATATTTTTTCTTATGGGGCTGGCTTTTTAGGTGCAGCAATTGACTTAGAAGATGTTTTTATTAACTTATTTCAATATGTGTTATACTAACCAAATTAATACTTTAAATATTATTTTTCTCTGTATATTCACAAAATGGATGTCTGCAAAATTAATAATCTCTACTATACTGTTACTAGTAAAGTTTAATAAATATGTCAATCCTTTACTGTAATAGCTATGATCAATCCTATAATTATTTGTTTGTTTTTGCAGGATCCAAAAGAATAAGTGATAGTGAAATCTCAGACTATGATTGCGATGATGGAATAGGAGTAGTGTCAGGTAAAACATTTATAGATATATTTTTAAAATTCTGAAACATTTTTCATGATGAATTCAGCCCCTCTTTCTTCCACAGTTATGTCTGAATGAAAATTTGCCATGCTTGTTTCTGCCATGTTTTAAAATAATTTGGTTGCTATTTTATTTATCCGGAAGGATTTGTTTTCCAAAACATAAGTGATGCAACTACTTTGGAAAGTAATTTGGCCTCTGGTGTGAATTTCCCTATCTTTTGGAATGGGCCAGGGTTAAGTTCCCTCTTTAGGTCACTGAGTGCTTAAGCAGGTATAGTTGATAGGGGAATTGAATCCCCTAGATATTGGGATAGGTTCTTAGGGTTTTTTGGGTATAGGGGATGAATCAGTGCAAGTTTGAGTATGTATACCCTGGCCTTGGAGATGGGAATAATGGATGGAAGTGGAATGGCTAAAGAGTTGAGAGGGAAGGCAAGAACATTCCTACAACAATGGGCAGAGGAAGGTTGGCAGGTATGAAGGCATGGTTGCATTTAGGGTCATTGGTCCACTGCTTGAAAACAACCCCATTGTTCAGCCATCAACCTAATTCCTGGTTATCAAAGCCTTAGTGGCCTTGGGTTCTGGCTGTTCTGACTGCTGATTAATACTACCTTATATACTAGCTTCCTTACTAATTTTTATAATACAGTTGGCTGCTAGATAAGTAGTAGTATAATAGTGACAAATGGCTGTCCTATTTTTCTTCTTATTTGTAATCTATGTTACATTGATTTCCAAATATGGGAGAACAGACTGAAATATATTCAGAGATCTTAAAATACTTAAAAATCGTTTAGAATAAGGAGTTTTCTCAGTATTAATTGGTAGACATTAATCAGCTACAAGGATATCTATAGGGCTGATGTAAGAATACTCAGTTTATCTTTCAAACAAAGCTGCTCAGATGTACTCAGTTGGATTTCAACTGATTTGGTCCAGTTGAGATTTTGGACCATGGCCTTGTGGAGTGATCTGGCTTGAGTTTGAGTTTGTAACACCTATTGACATGGGCAGAGTCCTTCAGATTATGAACATGGCCATTTGTTTATTAGATCCAGTTTCCTTTTGGATTGTTAAGGCTTCCTGGGAGGTGATCTGGTATTGGGTCCATATGATGGTGTCCGTGTTTTTGACAGAGAGAGTATGTTTCTTTAACCTTTAAAGGAGATAATAGCGCATTCCTTCCTAAAAAAAATCAGTTGTTGGATTCAATGATTCTGGAATATTTCCTTCCAAGGTCTAATCTTCCCTTTTGGGGGTAGGTAATTGAAAAGATATTGAGAAATAGCTCCAGAGATCCTGCAGGAAATGGATTATCTGGACCTATTTCAGCCACATTTCAAGCCAGGATACAATATAGAAACAGCTCATGGGTACATTCTTTCAATATTCTACCTGTCTGGCTATAAAATGGTTTTTGAAGGCCTTGCATGGTAGGCCATAAACGAAAGCATTGTAAGCAAATAGCAATAGCACAAAAGACAAAACACAAAAGAGAATCAATTCAGCATACAGTGAAAAGACAGCTGGTGGCACTGGCAACTCCCCTCCAAACTAATTTGTTAACATCTTCTGAAATCTGTCAGGGCAAGCAATTAAGGTTCAATTGCCAGAGTTGTGGAAAGCTTGATCTTATCAAACAGATATGCAAGGCAGTCAGTGAGAACATTACAGTGAATGATAGAATGCAGTAGCACTCATTTGATATTGGATATAATCCATAATTATAAAACAAAACACAAAAGGGACATTTTTATGCCAGAAATTTTACATTTGTTTAAATCTCAGAAAATGCAGGTTTGAATGAGATCGAAAATCATTATTTGTTTTTTCCATTGAAACAATTGAGCAATAAAGTGTTGAAACAACAATTTAAAATTATCAACCATCAGGTTTGCTTATGCTAAAGAGGTCATACATGCACGAATGTATGTTAAGAAAACTTGAACATCTGGTACTGGTTATTGGGAAAAAAAGTCATTCATAGCAAAAAATCTTGCTTATTCATGGGCTGGAGGAAAAGGGGGAAAAGCATTTCCATAAACTTGGTTGGAAATGATTCAAGAGAAGTATAATTTAAGTCTAGAAAGTAGGTCTACTGCTAATGAATTGATCTACCTCTTTGTCATTTATTTGTCATTTATTTGCACTTGTTTGTTAGTATTAATCAGTATAAGTAATTCTCTTAATTCATACATTAGAAACTTTTTTTGATACTAGAAGATCTCCAGGAATGATGCCTCAAGAAAAAACAAACACCTTTCAGAAAGAAATATATTCTGTGCTACAACTAATTCACCAAACAATTGTTGAATGCAAAAAGGACATAAAAAGAAATCATAATGAGACTAAAAACAATTTAGACAATATAAATGAACAAATCTTCAAATTAAATCTACAACTAGAAAGTTCACAGATAACGACTATAAAGTATGAACAAATAAACCAGAAATCAGAAGAAGAAATAGAGGAAATGGATTTAGAGATGGAAGAGATAAAACAAGGGAAATATAAACAACTATATACAAACAAAATACTGCAAGACTTAGCTATAATAATGAAAATGCAAAAGAACCTTTACCCCTTAGGTCTGCAAAATATATCTGATGGCAAGGAAGAAGATTTTAAAAAATGGAATATAAAGCTGTTAGGGGAAATGTCACAACTTGAGAGACAGGGAATGAAAAGAGAAGTGGAGGGAGAAAGGAATTGGGAGTTGCTTAAGGAATATAAATGTGAGGAATTCCCCCTCCAAAAAATACCCTACCTAAATTGTCTTTCTCATGCCAAGCAATTTTTACAAAAATAGAAAGAAAATTCCTAGACGATCTAATTGCCCTGGCTTGGAAAGATATTTGGCAAAGAAAGAAAGCAAAAGCCAGATTTAAAAACAGAAGATCTGACCTTTTAGAGGGGGCATTATATGTTTAAATACTTGTTTGAATAAGATTAAAAGAATGGATGGCCCTTAGATATAATTAGACTTTTATAATGAAAGATATGATTTAGAACTAAGACAGCATTTTTTTTCTTTTTTTTGATATGGGAAATGTGAAGATAAGAGGAGGATTTATATGAGTAAAACTTTTAGCTATATAAATGTAATTAATATTGAGAAAATCATAACTGAAAGATATTTCAAATAGTGATGGGAAATCAAACCTTAACAAGAGCATGAAAAACAGGGTATTGATTAATGAATTGACATTATTGATTTGTGAATTGATATTATTGTTATTTGTATATTAGTAAAATATGATGAAGATGCTTATATTTAACTTTGTATACATTAACAGTACCAAAAATTTAACTGTGTAATGAAGGGAAAATGGAAAAAATATGGAGAAGAAAGGAGGATCAGGGAAAAAATACTGGATTGGGTAGTATTGAACAGATTTATATTGAAGAAGTCAATGTTAAATATTTGAACCCAGACACTTCATTGCTCCAAGACCAATTCATTTCTTGCTAACTAATATTTCCCTACTACCTACCTTATCACTAGTAAGTACGGTCAGCTGTTGGATAAGTGGCATTATACAGTAGTGAGAAATGGCTGTCCAATTTTTTTTGCTCTTATTTTTTAATTTGCATTTTCAAAAGTAAAAAATGGGAGGAACTGATCAGACAGAAATGCACTTAGAGATTTTCTTTAATTAAAATATTTAAAAACCATTTAGGATAAAGAGTTTTCTCAGTATTAATTGGTAGGTATTAACTTTGTAATTTATTTGCTGTAAATAACCACCTAATTTGTGTTCTGTTTTTATGTGAAACTATCTCATTATGTTTTCAAGAACATTGTCAGGCTACTATTATTTCTTAGTGAGAAAAATATATATTCCAGATGTTAAATATTTCCTGGTGTAAACTACATTTACTCCCATAAATTGTGGACAGGACAGCACTATAATGATTAGTGTTTTTAAGCGAAACAGTTATCTTTTCAATGCTAAAATAGATCTTTCTTTTCATAAATGAAATTTCCACTTATAGAAATCTTGCCTCATGGGCAAATTATTGAAAACAATGATACAATGAATTGTACCATTGTACAGTTGTACAGTGTTAGGTACAACTATATCAAAGTCCTGCCTTGGGCATAAAAGCTAGCTAGGAGGGTTAGTCATTCTCAGCTCAGCTCAGCTCACCTCACAGAGTTATTGTGGGGGGGAATAAAAGCAGGAAGCAGTATTAAGTATGTTCGCTGCCCTGAGTTATTTATAAAACAATAAAGTCAGTATAAAAATAAAATAAATAAGCTGCATGCTTTGTGATCTGCTTAAAATTCATAAGGGTACTTCCATGCCACAATAATTTAGGCCAATGTTTCTCAACATCAAAGGCCTTAAGATGTTCTGCTTCATGTTGGCTGGGGAATTCTGGGAGATGAAGTCTACACATCTTAAAGTTGCTGAGGTTGAGAAATACTGATTTAGGCACGCACAATATTTGCAGTTTCTCTCTAGGTTATAAATGGCATAGCAGTTCTGGTTCCTAAGCTCGAGAATCCATGTCACATTCCGTAGATCAGACAGTTCTCCTTTGCTTAGTGCCATATGATGACAATGCATGTTTTTCACGGGGACTGTGTGGTTATAATACCTTAATTATTTCTTCCTCTTGCTGCAGTTTGAATTTGGAAATTGAATGATTGAAATTTAGGGGGAAAAAGTAATAGAACCAAATATAATAGCAGTGCTATTGGATGAGACATTTTAAAAGTAATAAAATCTGCATACATTCATTGATGCATTTCATTTGTAATTGAAATGTCAAACATATGTCATTAACCTGCACCATAACAAGCTATGACAAATTATTTTTCCTTTACCCATATCTTTTTAACAATATTGTAATCAATTATTTCTCATTTGGGACTTTTGAAGTGCAAATGATACTTCTCTTAGCTATAAGACTGTACACTAAATGCAAATGCAGTCTTCTTTCTGTTTCCTCCCTCCCTCCCTCCATGCCTCATTTTTTCAAGATTAAATGCTAAATTCCAAAATTTCCCTCAAAATTGATTTTCCAGGTTTGAATCTCATGGTAGGAAAAGAGACTTAGGAGAAGCAACAAGGACTAGAGGAGAGTGTCTTTCGGCATTTTTCTGTTGCAAGTTACCCCCAATCCATCTGTCATTCCACTGATTGTCAGCATTGATTTGGCTGACTGATAGGCAGGCATCATCTTTTGCCCTTGCTACTCCATATTCGTTGCTCTCGAAGCTGTGCCTATCTGGCACATGCCAGATAAAAGGAGTGTACCAAATCTTTGGTCAATGGTATAGCTCAAAATCCAAGAATCTGGGCCATCTTCTAAATATAATATATATTGTGACTACCCTGCAAATAATCTTGGTGCTTCTTTTGTTTTAGATGTATAAAGTTATGTTTTTCCAGTTTCAGCTTTTTTTATACATTATGTCATGATTTTTTGATGTCCTCCCTTGTGTTTTTATAATCTTACTTGTAATAAAATCGGCAGATTATATAGGCTTGTTGACAAACACCCCCAGTTTCCAGGTTTTTAATTAAGATACGGTAGACTCCGTTAAAGTACTTCCCTTGGGAAGCAATGAAAAGGCATAATGAACACATTATATATAAGTAGCTTATTCTGAATTAGCACTTTCTAGATGAGAGACAGCTTTATTTAAAATATCATTCCATTTTATATACTATTCATTTTATTAATCTTTATGTTTTTAACTTGTTCAGTAAAGGGTTTCTCCCTCATATAATTGAAGAATTTTTGTTTAATTTTGTTGCTTACAGCTGTGTACCTATGGAGAAATTATATTAATAAGAATAAGTAGGGCATTATCTTTTTTTGAAACATCCCTAAGGAAGGCTTACACCAGCAGTCAGTCTTTTCTCCCCCACCAAGCTGTATTATCTTTAGAAATTACAATGAAAATTTTGTGATGGCAGGAAATTTTCTGTGACATTACATCTAAAGAACTAAGGAAATCAGTTTTTATGAAAGAGATTAAAGTTGTTTGGGACCAAGACTACACAAAAATACTTGCTGTAGGATCTATTAATAATGTTGAGATTGATAAACTTAGTAGGAAGAGGGCCCAAGCAAAAGAATATCTGAAAAATAAGAAGATATGATTCAGATTTCAGAAAACTTCAAAAAGATTGTTCCCCCCCAAAGGAATAAGAAATAAAAGTATGCATTCCATTAAGTGTTAATAAATGTTACATAATTTATTTTTGGGGGAAAAATAATTTTGCATACAGACCTGTCTGGGATCTGTGATGTCATCAAGCATTAGATATTGTGTGTTCTTTCTATATCTATTTGGGAAAGAAATAAAACAGTAAGGAAATCTATTTCAGTTTTGGGGTTTCCAAAATTATTAGCTGGCCTTTGTGGAAAATGAATGGCTTCATTAGATGGTTTTTTGGCCCTATTAGACAAAGGCTATTTTTATGAATTTCTGCGATTTGATGTGAGCAATTTGAAGAAGATATAAATAATTTTCTACTGTCTATACTACTTAAAAAAATATATAAAAAATAAGTCTTTCAGCTCCACTTTTTTTTTGTAGATTACAGACATAATGGAAGAGATCTTCAAAGTTCAACATTATCAGTGCCAGAACAAGTGATGTCATCCAATCATTGCTCTCGATCAGGCTCTCCTCAACGTGGTGACAGTATAGGAAGAACTAGATCATGGTCTCCCAGTGTTCCTCCATTACAAAGGTAAATTGTAGTTGAAACTTGTAAGGGAAGCCTGGTGTTTTCTTCAATATAAAATTCACCGTGATAAAACATGACTTTATAACAATAAAAAAAATGAAAGAGGGAAAATATCAAACTATTTCTTTACTTAAAACTAATACTTTTGTTTATGATGATCTATTTTATTATATATGTCAGTGTTTAGTTTATTTTTTTGGTCATTTCAGTCACTATAGTCACCCAGTTCAAGCTAGGCTGCATTAACAGAGGGATAGAATCAAGATCACGTGAAGTATTAATACCACTTTACAATGCCTTGGTAAGGCCACACTTGGAATACTGCATCCAGTTTTGGTCACCACGATGTAAAAAAGATGTTGAGATTCTAGAAAGAGTACAGAGAAGAGCAACAAAGATGATTAGGGGACTGGAGGCTAAAACATATAAGGAACGATTGCTGGAATTGGGTATGTCTAGTTTAACAAAGAGAAGGACGAGGGGGGACATGATAACAGTGTTCCAATATCTCAGGGACTGCCACAAAGAAGAGGGAGTCAAGCTATTTTCCAAAGCGCCTGAAGGCAGGACAAGAAGCAATGGATGGAAACTAACCAAAGAAAGAAGCAACCTAGAACTAAGGAGAAACTTCCTGACAGTTAGAACAATTAATCAGTGGAACAACCTGCCTCCAGAAGCAGTGAATGCTCCAACACTGGAAGTTTTTAAGAAGAAACTGGACAGCCATTTGTCTGAAATGGTATAGGGTTACCTGCCTGAGCAGTGGGTTGGACTTGATGACCTCCAAGGTCCCTTCCAACTTTATTATTATTATTGTTATTGTTATTGTTATTGTTATTGTTGTTGTTATTATTGTTATTATTATTATTATTATTATTATTATTATTATTATTATTATATGATTCTGGGCCGCTTACAATTTTAAAATTATAAAACAATTGTAAAATTATAAAGCAAAAAATATTAAAACACTAAAAATATCCACAAAATAAATGATGTAAAATAGTAATATATAACATTTGTTAATTATTCATTGATGAATTTATATAATGATAAATAAATTAGATAATGAATATTTACATACACAAAGATTATGTTATAACAGAATGACTAAAATATTTTTTTATATTAGTATAATCTATCACCGTTCAGATGAATTATATTTCCAGTAGCTGGTAATCTCCCAGTTGAGTGTAGTATGATATTCTACTTTTTAAAATTTTGTTTAATATGGAAAGCTGTAAATACGAAAGAAAATGTTCTGCACACAGGCAAGGAACACTGAGGTGAGCAAAGTATACAATGATCTTGTTAGAACTGTGGTACTGATAGTAATTACCATTATTTTAAACAATCATTTTTCTTCTGCTCACCATTTTTTCTTGGGAGATTTTAACTTATTTATTTATTTTTAGTATGAACATTTCATGTTGAAATATCTGTGATTCTATGCTACAGTGGCAATCTCTACATAGTACTCTTGTTCTATGAGATGGGTTCTACCTGTTTAAAATCACAGATATTGATTATAGTAAAGGATTTCCAATAAATAAATAAATATGTAAGCCAGAAAATATTTTGTGAGGTTCTCGCATATTTTGATCTATACATATTATAGATAATCTTGTTCTCTTGGTAACAAAATAGTCAGGCTCACATTAATAATTAGTCAGTGGTGCACTATTTTACTGAGACTTGTAAATTTATGTGGACAATGTGAAATGAGTAAATTTTAGTAAAAGCATACAAAAGCCATGTTAACATCAGAAAATATCTCAAGAAAATGATTAAACTACTTATTCATATATTATTTATATTCATTATTTTATTCAAGGTTGTTCGATAACAGCTTAGGGTTAAAATCCACACAAAAGTGCTACCTAATTAGAAATTTGTGTCTATACATATGTGTCATGAGAGAGGAAGCCCTGTCTCTTTCAGTTTTTGGCAAGTAGATGAAAGCCCTACAATCTAAAAATCGGTTATGTTCATATCTTCCAAACAATGGTAAACAGGCTCTTCTAACTCTTTTAACTCTATAGTTGTGCAATTAATTTACAAAAAAATATTCAGTGAAGCCATTATAGATATCACTTCTGATGTAATTTTTTTCAACAGTTGTGCCCTGGATACTATATGGAACATAAGCAAGAAATATCAAACTACTGAAGAAAACAAGTGCATGGGGATAGGAAGACTAAGTGGAGAATATCAGAATTATAGTCCACTTTAACCTCTAATTGGGGAAAATAATAGTAAACATTAGTCAGCCTTACACATTAGGAATTGCCCAAGAAGAAATGATGATGCAGCCATCTTGCTGAGGTTCAGTTGTTTAGATGTTTGTAATGAGAAAAGGCAGGTTATATATGTTTATATTTGTGTGTATGTTTGTGTTGTCAAAGACACCACTCTGTTCAAAAAGGTCTGGCCAAGGCTGTTTGACATCCCTGAACTTGAACCATTTTATTAAATATGGGAGGAGTAAAGCATAGAGAAGAGATACTTCCTGTCCTATAAGATTTCTTCCTCTGCCCTAACATTTAGTTACAGACTACTATCTTTCCTCTAATGCCCTTTAAGGGACAATTAACACATATTTTAAGTCTCCATTACCTTAGTCATAAAATTATGACTATTTTTTTTAGACTTCTCCCTATGTGGTAACAAAAAGCAGTAGAGAAATCCAAAAGTTGTGAATGATTGTAACTGATCTACATTGTTTTGGTTGATCTCTCTCTCTCCCATCCCTCAAGAACCTGTTGCCATTCAAGAAAATACAGTAACAAAGATAAGCATCCCTGGAAAAACAGGAATTCAGTAGCAATATTATCAACTGATAAAAATTTAACATTTAAGGTTTTTTTCCAACTGACAAAAAATTAAAAATATAAATTGTATTAGTCAGAAAAGGTCTTACCATCCTCTTGATTTTTACTGCCATTGAGTTAATGTAGGCCTCCTATAATATCCATGAAAAAATATCCCTTCCTATAGTGTGTGGAAGTTTCAATTGTTTATGAAAAGTACATACTTCTTTTAAAAATGTAAAAGTTCCTTTTAAATATCAATCACCAAATTTTCTAAAGGAAGGATCATCATGCCAAGAGTTAAATATTGTTTTTTAAAAAAATATGAAGGAAAATACTTAAATGATATTTTATAATATTCAATATATCACCATTTAAAAGTTGGTGCATTTGTACGTCTGGTACCTTTATTAATTAGAGAATTAATGTACATTCCCTTTTACACTTCTCTGATTATAGAGTGAATTCTCTAATTTAAGAACTAAATTTAAGAACTAAATTAGAATTAATGTGAATTACCAAGAAAGTTCATCAAGATACCTATTTAACTAGAATTTGTTTCAATAAGTACTGGTTATTTTGCATGAATAATTTTAAATTACATGCTTACTTTGTAGTGGGTAGATTATTTGGAATTTCATTTTATTTCCAAATAAGATTGGTCAGTTGTTGGGCAATAGAGTTGTATATAACAGCACAACGATTGTAGGCCATGGCAAAAGCAAATCTAAATATTCAGGAAACAACTTTTTAATCTTTTGGGAGGCATTAGAATCTGGCTTATTTTTTTCAAATTTCTCTCATCAATTAAGAGGCTATGGAATTTCCATTTTACAATTATCTGATTGCAAAGATTATACGATGCTAAAGCATTTTCCAAAAGGCTGTATCACATGCCAGAATTTAAATAATGAGCAGGTATTAATGACCAGAAAAAACTGTTAGGGTGAAGAATGCAACAGACGACATTTGATTAATAAAGAACATTTTAGAGATTAGCAAAGGGATTTTCTCATTTCCCCCTCTATAACATTGATGGTTTTGTTTCTTCAAGGAATGTGGAACATGGGTCTCGAGGGACCCGATCTACTCCTGCACATTACAATACCATGAATCGAATGGATAGACATCGAATAATGGATGACCACAACTGTCCAGACAGAGAGAGGTAGATATTCTGAAGTAACAGAGTAAACAATGGAAAAAGAGTCTATAGACAGAGTCAATTCTGCTCTCTGGTTTATAAAATTAGGGTAGAGATAAAGGAACTGTTCCTGTTTTTGAAATTATTATTTTGTTACAGGCATTGTGTTGTATATTATGTATTCATATTATGCATTTTTCCTGTCAGAAAAACTAGAAGGCAGTAAGTATCTTTTAACTTGAAAACTTAAGGCTTTGTTCTATGAGGTTTTTATTTTATTTTGACTATTAATTTTATTTTGAATAATAATTCATTTAAGGTAAATAATAATTAGTCTGTTAAGGTCTTTAGAAATAGGAATATATAATAATTTAGCAATATAATTTAATATTTATATATCAAATACCTGGAAAGCTTCATGATACATTCTATACTTGATTTTAGCATTAATTGCCTATGTATAAGTAGATTTAAACAATATATACTTATCCTGTATCTTTTAGGGAGCATTTCTCTCTGGATAGAAAATATATATAGTGCAGCTGTTGATTTTCAGAGTATAGGACTTCATCTTACAGACTGGACTTAATGCAAAAGGATCTCTGTTAAATATAATATTTCTTATAAATACATATAAATGTATTTATTTTAATTAATTTTTCCATGGTTTGATCTGTATATTTGAATTAGAGATGGGAGCAGAATCAATGTTGGTAATTTTCTCTCCCACGACTATGGCAAAACGTGCATTTCTTACCACTGAAAATCTGTTGCTTCTGTGGCTTTGATGGGGGGGGAAGAACCAGATGAATAGTGCATCTGGTTTTGGGCACCACGATGTAAAAAAGATGGATGTTGAGATTCTAGAAAGAGTACAGAGAAGAGCAACAAAGAAGATTAGGGGACTGGAAGCTAAAACATATAAGGAACAGTTGCTGGAATTTGGTATATCTAGTTTAATGAAGAGAAGGACTAGGAGTGACATGAGGGCAGTGTTCCAATATCTCAGGGGTTGACACAAAGAAGAGGGAGTCAAGCTATTCTCCAAAGCACCTGAAGGCAGGACAAGACGCAATGGATGGAAAGTAATCAAAGAGAGAAGCAACCTAGAACTAAGGAGAAATTTCCTAGAAATTTCTGTTAGAACAATTAATCAGTGGAACAACCTGCCTCCAGAAGCTGTGAAAGTTTTTAAGAAGAGACTGGACAACCATTTGTCTGAAATGGTATAGGGTTTCCTGCCTGAGCAGGGGGTTGGACTAGAAAACCTCCAAGGTCCCTTCCAACTTTATATCATCATCATCATCATCATCATCATCATCATCATCATCATCATCATCATCATCTTCTTCTTCTTCTTCTTCTTCTTCTTCTTCTTCTTCTTCTTCTTCTTCTTCTTCTTATTATTATTATTATTATTATTATTATTATTATCATCATCATCATCATCATTACTATTACTATTACTATTACTATTACTATTACTATTACTATTACTATTATTATATCACCCTAATCAGAATCAGGTGGGTTTCCTGTTTGGGTGCCTTCATACATATGTTCACACTCACCGGTCCAGGATTCTTGATCTATCAATGCTCTGCCAGTACTTCAGCCAAGTCCTGTGTTCTTAAGTAAGGCATAGTATCTGGAATGTTAATTTAAGATCCACTTCTGCTTCCTTTGTGCATGACTTGCCCTAAAAGATGGCATTGCCCACTCACTGAATAAGTTGATCCAGACATTTCAATTAACATGTTAAGGTGCCAGTAGATTCCAACATTATTTTATATATCTCTGTTTTCATGCCTCTCCTTATCAAATCTCCAGCTTCAGAATATGCTCAGATGTGGCACTATTTTTCATATAGATAGATTCATATAACTATATTGGATGCTTCATTCTCAGTTCCATTCCTAATAAGTCATCCAAATGAATTGTCCTAGTAATTCTCTTCTAAATATTAATTTGATCTTTTTATAGCTGTCCCATATTGCTTAACATTTTCATTGAACTAGCCACAATAAGTCCATGATCAATTTCTTTAAATTAGCCATTGCAGCTTAGATTTGTTTGTCCCAATGTGTACACTTTGTATTTTATTATTTTATTTGTGATTTTGAGCCCACTTTGGAGCTATTATTATTATTTTACTTTCTTGAACAATTGTTAACAATTACTAATTATCATTGGCAATTATGGGCAGATTGTTATTTAACAAATAGCACAAAGTCCAACATCAGTCCTATCCAGTCCTATACTTTGCACATCTTTCCAGTATAAAAATTGTCATTTATTCCTCCTCTTAGTTCCTGTTCTTGAACTAGATGCTAATTTCTGAAACCAGGTTCATTCTCTCCAGAACATGGATAACAGGGCTTTTTTTTTTTTTAATCTGAAAAGCAATTTTTTCCAAGCAGGAACATAGCTTTCTTTAGCAAGAATTAGGAAGATAAAAAAGCACAACAATTCGAGCAAGTGGACTACATTTCAGTTTAAAACCAATGTAGCTCATTGGGAGTGGCGATTTTGAGTGTTCCCCCCCCCGGTCATATGGTATACCAGAAGGGGAGGAAGCTCTTCACTGAGCCACGGTGGCGCATTGGTTAGAATGCAGTATTGCAGGCTAACTCTGCTGACTGCCAGAAACTTGGCAGTTCGAGTCTCACCTGGCACCTGCTCATGATTGACTCAACCTTCTATCCTTTCGAGGTCAGTAAAATGAAGACCCAAATAGTTGGGGACAATATGATGACTCTGTAAAACCACTTAGGGCTGTAAAGCATGGTGAAACGGTATATACGTAAGTCTAAGTGTTATAGCTATTACTATTTTAATAGAGCTGTTTCAGGTTGTTTATATAATGGTGAACTGAACTTTTGTCAGTCTGAGAAGCAATTCTTACATGGAACAATTTTAAATAAAAATTATTATTTCATTAGAATATAATTTATTACATCTGGGACTTTGATTTAGTATTTTAGTGGAATATGGTAATACTGTTCAGTGATAAATCCTCCTTTGTTTTAGGCTATGTTAGAAAACAACAAGGATTATTTTAACTTCAAAAGGAAAAGATACTTTTCAGAACCAATATATGCTGTTGTTCTAGATTTTTAAAACCTATAGTGCAAAAACTTCAAATACTCTTTTGAAGTCATCACTTTCACATTGGATGCTGTTAAGTAGGAATAACTTTAATTGATGAAGTCAGGCTTATAAAAGCTTGCTTTCAATTGCTTTTGAAAGACTATACATAGTACTAAGTTACAGATTCTACCTCATGGTGCCACAAGCTTAAAAATAATGTTTGTGCACAAATCTGTTTTGAAAAATGTAGTAAATCTGTAGGTGTTTGTTACTGCATTAGGGGAAATATAAATAGGGCCAATCCATGACATATTTTTTTCCTCTGTCTCCATGGAATTCAGGGTTCTTCACTATTTTCTTAATAGCAACGTGGTAAAAGAGTTTAGGCTAGAGGCAGTAACTGATTCCAAGTCACTCATAAATATTTGTGGCATAGTCAGAATACAGCCTTAGATCTTAATCCTGATTAATATTGTAAACAATGCAGCACATTAAAACAGCATTCTTGATTTTTAAGCAGTACTGTATATTTATTTAGAGATTGAGGGCAATAGAAGAAGGGGACGACAGAGAATGAGGTGGCTGGATGGAGTCACTGAAGCAGTAGGTGTGAGCTTAAATGGACTCCAGAAAATGGTAGAGGACAGGAAGGCCTGGAGGAACATTGTCCATGGGGTCGCAATGGGTCGGACACGACTTCGCAACTAACAACAACAACAACAACAAATGGCATAACAAAAACAAGAGATTATTTTATTGACATAAAAAAGTAATTTAATTAAAATTAACACTAGATGTAATAATGCTGTGCTTCCTTTAAAATGATTTGGGAAAAGTGCTTTAGAACTTGCTTCAGTGAGAGAGCAGGATCTCTATGTTGTTCATTAAAGCAGCCACATTTGTTGAGGCATAGATTGTGTTGCTTTCTTACTAATGAGGTTTAGTGATTGGATGAAAATATTAAGTTTATTTTCCCTAAATGATTTTGGGACGAAAGATAGTAAATAAATTTTTTTTTCTGATGAATTCCTATTTGATATTCCACTATATTCGAAAGGAATTATATTGTATATACTCACTTTCTAGTGTGAGATTCATGAGCACTCAGACTTTTCACTGGAAAACCTGGTGTCACAAAGGAAAATATCACAACAATTAAACGGGCAGGGACTTGATGATTTAACAGCTAGAGAAGAGGGGGAGAAGTCCCTAACAGAAGAATAATCCATATACAGGGCAAAAGTAAATTTTATTAACAAATAGTGCTGATGCTACAAACAATCACAAAGACATAGAATAAAAATCCTCTTCATATTTTTAGCAATAAACTCCCTAACTATTTCAACTAGGTCTCTGCAGGGGAATAAATCTCTCTAACTGGGCAAAGATCAAGTCAATTGGGCAGTTATAGAAACATTGGGTTGTTAGTTGTCAATCTCTTGCTGGTTGAATATAAAAATTGGTATATTTGCTGGTTAGGCTTTCTAAAAGCTATTCCTTTCCTTCTGCTCAAAGGACTCAAGAAATGGAGCTGAGGTAACAATGCTCCTTGCAACTTGCCATGATATGAAATTTGCTCTTTTGTTAAACCACGTAATTTGGGGATTGTGGCCTTGCAGCTACTAGGAAAAGTGAGGAGCAGAAACAAAGTAGAATCCAGTTGACTAGAATATTCTGCCAAATTTTAACCCAACAGATCAGTAGTACAGACTACTAGGCCAGACTAATGGTCTGTTAGTAATTTCTACTATTAAAAGACAGTTATAAGACTATCTAAGATTCTTTTGAGCTTTAAGTCTGTGAAAATGGTAGTTCTCACAGAATTGATCACAGTAATTCAGTCTGGAATAAACAGTGTCAGAGGCACTATTATTTAGCTGATATTACTTCCCTTAATTAGTAACCCATCTAGACTATTTTCTAAGACAGCTTGGTGGTCCAGGTGAAAATCAGATCACCCTGGTCTCCACAACATAGGGATGCTTATCTATGATAGGCTTTTTCTTTAGGGGTAAGATATAGTTAGGCCTCTCCAATTTCTAAGGGTTTCTCCAAAGGACTTGAAGTTTTTTCCCAGGATTACAAATATTGACTCTGATGGTGCTTAGAAGACTGCAGCAGGTCCTTGCATATTGTTGCTCCAGCAGCTTACCAAATTCAGTGGGCATTCAGATTTGACCAATTTATCCTATCTATACCATCACTTAATGATGGTAATTGGGATTAGAATTTCTATCACTAAGCAATGTGATTGCAGAATGCAATGTCATATGACTGTATCACTCTGTGATGGACATTCTGGTACTTCCAGTTGCTCTCATTAAGTAAATCCCATGCTGTTAAGTGCAACATCATATGTCACATTTGCAACTTCCTGCCAACTTGCTTGTAGCAAATTGGCAAAGAAAGTTCCAAATGGCAATCAAATGGCCTCAGGACACTGCAGTATCATAATTGTGAGCCATTAACTGAGTACCTGGATCATGACCAGGTGACTGGACTGCAGGGATGCTTCAACTCTGTGTGAGAAACAGTCATAAGTACCTCTTGTTCAGCACCACTGTAAGTTTGAATGGTCAGTGGGTGAATGGTCATCATGAGAGGATCACCTGTATCAACTTTTCTGGGACTGCTCTATCAAAAAAGCCTTATTCCAGTTCAACTGTTGAGCAAAAAACTGACAATTATTTACATATCCTGCTACCAAGTACATCCCTGGTGTTGCTTCTTGACATACTAATTGTTTGTGAGTGGTGCAATAAGATCTTCACTCTTATTTTCAATTTTATGATGAATTTGTGAAAATTATTCAGTGCTCCAGTGAAACAGCAGAGTAGCCCATTTAGCAGCTGGCCCAGATAGCACACTGTGTGAGCCAACAGTTCATATAAAAATTGTACTGTGCCAGAAATGCTGGGAGTCAGTCTAGGGATCTATCAAATTTCTTTTAATTGACTTCAGGGCATTTGTAATGTGAAAATGTTATAGTTGCACCATGTAAACACTAAGAGTGAACTGACAAAGTTTTTCTGAGTTTTTTCTGCAAGCAAAAGTTTCAGTTTGGTTGCAAAAACAGAAAGGAGCAAGTATCTCTATTTTGGTGTTAGAATCAAACTGTACTTTTCTAGAGTCAGCAGTCACACAGTACCAGGTTTGAAATTGGATCAATGATGAGGCTTTAGTAATAAACCCTCAGAAGACAGGTAGAATGCCCAGCTGAACAGTTACACACAAGTTCCAGAGTAAATATAGGAAATGTGAGATCTTTCTGTACAATTAGGATGCTCCAATATGAATTGATCCAGAGACAGATCAACAAAGTCCAATTTAGGATCATAGTTAAAAGAAAAAAGCTAGTGCCACCTACAGCACCCACATCTGGTAAACAGGATGTGACAATGGCAGAGAAATTAGTTATCTGTATCAGAGTTCAGACACCAGAGGATTTCACAGCTGGTTTGAGACTTCAAGCCAAGAGCAGAGCAAAGAGCCAGAATAATAGGATCACAGATCCAGTATTGCCAGTCACTTGATTGAAGTGTTGTTAACCTCTGTTGCTGAGAAATCTTTGTTCTGTCATTTAAAATACTGGCTCATTGTGGGTGTAGGCACTTTGCCAGGATCTGGCCTCTTATTACATCTGAGTCACCTGCTCATTCTCATTAGGTCCCTGATCTATTCCAGGTGATTGGAGCTCCTGAGAGCCTTACTGTTTGCCAGATCAGGCTGTTCAGCCTCTGATTCTGATGAGTTAGAGTAGACCATAACAAGGAGGCAGGTGTTATGAGCTGCTACTGATGTGGGGTGCAATCTGGGTGAGCCATCCCTTAATTTTGTGTGTGTGTGTGTATCTGTGCTCAAGGGAAAGTATTGACCTCATAGAAATTCTTCAATGAGATTGATGTCCCTTCTGTTAAAGAAACTGTCTGCCAGTAAACGCTGTTTTCTCTTCTGCACCCAAAGTACAAATAGTCACAGAGGCCTGCAGATGGAAGGAAGTGGACAATCCTGCAGGAAGTAAAGTGAAGCCCTGCAGACCACCGATCTCTCTGAGGATCTTCTTTCTAGTCACAGTATTCCCATACAGGAATCTCAGACTCTTTTTTAAAAAAATGCTTTTATTGTAAGACAGAAAAAAGAAAGAAAAAAGGATAAAAGGAATACATTAAGAATATACAAAATATAAAAATTACATAAATATTTACAATATATTAAAAAAGCAAAAACACCCCATTATTTCTGCAAACAATCCTGAATTAAAACAGATATAAAGAAAATACTTTATCACAATCCTTTAGAACTAATATTAGAACCAAACTACAAATTGACGAAAGTAGCCAATGTTATAAGATTTAGTCAAATTCATAATATAATTAGCAAGAATTTCTAATAATCTGAAGCAATATCTTTGTGGCTTATCAGACAGAATCTAGTGATTCCTTTTTTTAGCAAGTCAGTCTTTGTATCCTCTTTCTTCTCTGTGCCCTCTTTCTTCTAACTCTTAGTGTTTTTTCTGCCAAACAGTTGAATTTTAGGAAAAGACTGTTTGAACTTTTTGATTAATCACACTTATGGTGAAATCAGTACAATGTAATGTCCTCAACATCTGACATGCCAAGATAGTTCTGTGAATTTATTCTGGAATATTCCTAAATATCTGTAAATATCTTGCAACCTATTGCTTAAGTCTTTTGTAAATATGATAGTTATGTGGCAGCCACCTTCATTAATCAAAGTAATAGTATCTTGATTTGATTTGCACATCATCCACATTTCAGGTGTGCGGGGGGGGGGGGGCGGAATTAATTGTTTATAGTAGTATTGCATCAGGAGAAGCACATTAATATATGGATCCCTTTTATGAAGTTATTTTTCTGTATAAAAATTACACCTAGTGTCTTTGTGCTTGTGCTGTCAGGCCTTCATATTTTATGATATATATATATATGACACTATATATGACACTATCTTAATTTTATTGTCTTACATTTTATTTTTGTTTCTGCTATGCTTTCAGTCATTATCTCACTCTGCCTTGGTCCCATCACACGCAATCCATTGACTACCATCATAGAGATGCCAGGTATCTGCTTTCCTGTGTGTGACTCTGTGTATAAATGCATGCTTTTACTTGAACTTATATTTTTTGCTTCATACTAGTTAAGCCACTGAATGGCTTAATAACAAATCTTTTGCAAATATTAATACTTGACTTTAAAAGAAGTACTACCTTACATTCATTGTTTGTCTAATCAATAGAGAGCATGTTATACAACGGCACTTTTTGCCCTGTTCTTGAACAGTTATCATTCTTTGTCTATGAAGTTCTAGATGTTAGATTCTTCTCAGCATTGCTATAACTTTTTCAGTCATACCATTGGAAACCATTATTCCATATTATCATCCATAATATCAAGCTGCTATTCGCAATCCTAGCACTGCTACCAGATAAAAATTGTTATACAAAGTTGAAGAATTGAAGTGGATGCTGTATAGTAGCTGAAAGTGTTGGTTGTGTTCCAGAAGAGGAGTGGACTCATCTCATTTATGAACTTGTTGGGTATCTTTAAGTGACCCTGTCCCTTGCAGCCCCACCTGTATCATGACAATAATGCTGATTTGCCTTACTAAATGATAAGGATTGCTGCAGTTATGTAAATATTTTGAATTTCCAAAATATTCTATAATAGTAGTTCTTCCCAGGATCCTGGGTACATTTGCAGCCATTCTGAACCAAATATTTCTCTGTCTGTCTGTCTGTCTGTCTGTCTATCTATCTATCATCAGAAATCTTAGATGTCCCTGTCAGTGCCTTCCCAATTGCATAATATTTAATAAAATAGGATCTGAATACTGAAATAACAACAATATAGCAGAAATTGGCCAGCTATTAATTTTTTGCCTTCTACAACAACTAGCTAATGTCTTTAAAAATACATTGTTTTTATGTGGGGACAAATATAAGATTTAGTATGCTGGATTAAATCTATTTTGAATTTATGCTAGTAAGAAGAATGCTTTTTTCCTATTATGCAGGAGCTAGTGACTGTATATTCCCAGTATCTGTAATTTAATGCAATCAAATGTTATTTTTTTTAAAAAAAAAATAGCCTATCACTTGTCAGGTTTTTAAATCATAAGAGATTTGGAGTTGTCATTTGAGATCACCAAGGATTTTGTATAAATGCATAAAATCTCAGGAATTAATGATGACCAAATCTTGTCAGAATTTCTGTTTAATTTTTTGCAGTCTGCATCATGATATGTGATCCCATATCTACATAAAACAACATCTGAACTATATTATGATAGCTATAACAATGTCACAAACTTAAAATTATGCCCAAAAGTTTGGAGATCCTGTCTTAACAAGGGGTTCTCCTATACTGTAGCTATTGATTAAGGGAGAAGTCATTCAGACTTCAGCCATGCCTTTCTTTTTTTCTACTAGTATTTAGCATTAATATTATGGATTATGTCTGGGGAAAATGAGTTTTAGCTGAAGATATATATTTTCTTATTACTGGAAATTAACTCTTGTACGATTGGGAAAAGTTATATCAGAATTACCATAATGATGCTATTGAAGAGCCACTTACGTAGTTGGCTAGGATCTTTGCCATATTGATTGCATATTAATTATATTTGAAGGAAACTTTACTTTCCTCATACATTGAATAATCAATAAAGTTTCTTGTAGCTGTCTCTTGGGCTTTTTCACATAAAATTCAGAAGTGCTCCAATATACCCTCCTTTCTAAATGTTCTATTCAAAACACGTTGATGCTTAAACTCTTGTTTTGATCCACACTATAAATTAAACTACATGAATTAATGAACATATTTTTCATACCCATTTTATTTCCTCCTATCATTCATGTATACTTTCATGCCTAAATGCTATTCATTTCTCTGTTTCTTACTTTAGTTTCATGTTTCATTGCTTATGTTTTGGCAGCAAGAATCATTCATTGTATCCTAACTTTTGTGAAGATGCAGTCAGATTACTTCGATCGCATAGGATGTGCCGAACCTATTCTGAGGGTGCTTACAATGAGTTTGAGAGGTATAACATATACAAAGTATCATTAGTTTACGACATTCGGCACAAACACACAATATACTGATGTTGTGTAAAAAGCTGTCACTGCTATTTTGAATAAGAGGTGCAATTAAGTGAATGTGAGTTCCACAAAGTGAAGAGCAAATACTATTTTATACAACACATCTAAAGCAAACTTTTGAGGGTGAATATTTGTAGAATTCACTGCACACTATTAACAATTCAATATTGAAAATAATATTTTGGGTTTTGAATTCCCCTTATCTGGGAACTAGAAATTTTATATCTTTGGTTCTGAATGGGATTGCACTCTCCTACTGAGACAGTCTACAGTCTGCAAGTCCAGGTGGCAATTGTAACCAGAACAATGCCATGTTGTGTGCAAGTTGTACCTGTTCCTAGATCAACAGGTCTTCATTTCTGTCACTCATGTCCTAGTCATTTCCCAACTGGACTATTTCAACTTGGCTACGTGGGTTGCTGTTGAAGACCACCCAGAAGCTATAATAAGTCTAGAATGCTGCAGCACAGGAAGTCATGGGCACATCAATATATGCTCATGTAAATAACCTACTTTCTGAGCTGCACTGGCTTCCTTGTTAACTTCTGGGTGCAATTAAAAATGCAAGTTATCACATATAAAGCCCTACATGGAACAGGACTGTATTGTTAGTGAAACTGCTTCTCCCAAATGATATCTGCCTGTCTCTAGAATGGACACACTTCATGTCATCTGATGCAATCAGGAGAAGTGCCTTTTCTGTTGCAGTACCTGTTGTTGGAATGATCCTTCACAGGATAGGGCTAGCACTGACCCTGATGGCCTTCAGAAAGCCAACTGAAGCTTAATATACTGTAGATATAGAGGGGGAATGTACATACTGCAGCCCTTGAATGCAAACTTTCTCAGGGTAATGGGTCCCTGCCCATTTTGATAGGAAAAATAAAAATCGAATGTAAACTTCAATGGTATTCCCACGCACAAAAAATGAAGTCTAATTTATTATACATATAATAAATAAATACTTTCTCTAGCTACTGGTTGTTGTAATTCCAGTGTTGGTCAGAAATTATCTATAAGTTGAAAATAAAGAAGTCAACTTTTTTATAGCTTAGATACAATCTTTTTAAGGATTTATACAACTAAATCAGCATCTTGGATCTGCTTAGAAACAAAGCATTTAATTGTTTTACAACTAATAGTTACATAAAAGGGCATCACAGATAAAAGTCTACTTGGAGTATTTGCATTAGCTGAACTTACTTAATATTTTTAAGGGCAGTTCCATATAGAGTGATTTCTGTAATCTAAATTAGAAATCATTAAATTATAAATTATCATGGTGTCATTTTTTGCCACAAGTAAGAATTTAACTTGAAGAACACTCAGCTTATACTGAAAGAACATTCTATTGGCTATTATACCTACTACCCATCATTTCTATATTCATACTTCTTATATACTACTTTTAAGCCACAGAATATTTTGAAAAAGCTATCCACACTCCCCTTTGTGCTATAACACATTCTGTTTTGGTCAATTGTATTACTTAATTTGAAAAAAAATCCATAACATCCCTAATAGGTAATATTGAATATTATGTGTAGTAGCATTTTAATGTTGCCGTTACCCCATCCTCTCGCATAGCTCCTCAAGGTTGACTGACTTAATAGCTAAGCATAAAAGGGAACTAAGCTAAACATTTTAGTGAGACGCTTGGAGCCAGAACACATTACTTGAATGGTTGGGAATGAATAATTCATTTTCCCAAACCTTTAAAAGTTTACAAAAAATGGCTTAACCTGGTGAATCTACCACAAATCTACATTCAGAGATAAGTGTTCATGTTTACTTCATGTCCTAATTTCATTATGTTGGATATTTTCTACTATATACACTACAACATTGACTGTTCACATACCTCAGTAATAGGCCAGTTCAATAGGCTGAAAGTCTTGCCATCATTGCTTTTGTTAGTTAAGGCATAGAATGTCTTAACATAGTTGTTGAAGATAAGGTGATCACAGGCATATGAATCTTGTTTGAATATGGAATTATTTGGAAAATAGCTGTTTTCAGGATACAAATTATTTTTACTTTGCATTATGCTAAAAGTTGCTTGATATTTGGTGGACATTATCATGCATCAGCAGAAGTATGCAAGGCCATTCTAAAATACCTTTACTGTTTATTTTATGTTCAGGAGGAGTAGGAAGGAGGGAAGAGAGCCTAATGCATATGTTGATGACACGTTTATTTCTCCTGCTCTCGAAAGGTATTTACTTATAGATAGATAGATGTATAAATAATACATATATTTAAGAATTTGCAGCGTAGAATTTTGAAGGAGATAATAGACATGGACTTACAGTGTATTGATTATCAACTTCAGACCCCTCATAGATGATGGGAATCTTAATTTGGTTTAACATACTATAGATATGGTAGAAGAGACTTTCAGTATGATTAAGGCTAATCAGAAGTGTGCAAAATGTTTTGCATTAAAACCAATTTGAGCTAAAAACAGGCTGCTTTGACTTTTGAATAATTTTGTAACCATTTCAAATGTAGCTGATCTTGAAATGCTTTTTTGTGAGTGGAATACTTTCTGTTAAGATTTGAACACTTCTGGTGAAGCTTGAACAATCTATTTAATGCTCAAGGTGGTTAAATTTGAACTGTTTGCTCATTTTTAAGACTAATATAATTCATTACATTGGGTGGTCTTACAAATGGCTAAGGATGCTATATAAAGGCTACCTCTCATATAATATGTTTAATATCTGTACTATCTGTTTCACTACTGTTGTATAATTTATTTCTTATACAGATGTCTGGCAATTTTATAACTTCACTATTCTTGTTGCTGCTATTATTTATAACAGTGTGCATATCACTATCAGATTTATTGAGCAAATTTTGTTTAATACATAAATTTACTTAGGCAAAATATAAAGTCTGTATCTAGAGTTGTTCTGTTGATGGAAAGACTTTATTTTATTTTCAGGAATAGATGCCATATAGATGACCTATTGCATAGACTCCATGAATAGATTTCTCCCACCTCCTTTACCTTTGCAGAGTTCTTGTGCCAGTTATACTCACAATCAGATACAAAATAAGATTGTGATGATTCTTAGGCTGTGCAGCTTGTACCTGAAAAGAAAATGAGAGTTCTTTGGACCAAGTGCTGTGTCAAATAAATATAGTTTCATATAATATTTCTATCAAGACCTGATATATTTATTTATTTACTTACAAAATTTCTCATGCTGCAAAGTGACTCTAGGTGACTTACAATTAAAATAATAAATATTAAAATATTAAAAGCAATATTATATTATATTATATTATATTATATTATATTATATTATATTAGATTAGATTAGATTAGATTAGATTAGATTAGATTAGATTAGATTAGATTATTATATTAGATTAGATTATAACAATTAATCAATTAAGTATTAGACAGTTAAATGCCCTGACCAAAAGGTAATAGTTATAAATAGTTATAAAGAATAAAATACTTCTATTTTTCAAAAGATTAATTCCCCAAATGTATCTGTAGTGAAAAGAATTAAGGAGAATTCCTTGCCTGATTACTGAGATAAAAATACATCTCATGAGAAAAATTGTTTGAAATATAACTTCATACTTATAACTTGTCTTTATTTTAACTGCATTGCAAAGGTATTACAATGGTGCAAGTTCATGGGCAGATCATGTAGTCAATGGTACAGCTGAAAATTACAGGTGAGTAAAGTGTAAAGTATTATGATTCTGTAATGTAGGATTGTATTTATAATTTAAATAGAGCATTATTTTAGTTTATATTTTTTTTCTTCCCTTTTAAAACCAATTATTTGAGCATTAGATTTTAGTAATATTTTTAAAAATCCAGTTATTCTTCAGATATAGATACCCTATCTGGCCTAGGGGAAACTTTTAGAGGGGGTTTTAATTATATTTTAATTAGATTAAATTTAAATATTTCCTTTTTAACTAATTTTTAAATTTGTAATGTTATTTGTGTATTTTTACCTGATTGTTAGCCGCCCTGAGTCCGCAAGGAGAAGGGCGGGATATAAATTTAATAAAATAAAATAAAATAAATTTAATAAAATAAATATCTACATGCACAGGGATGCATGCAGTCCTCAGGTTCCCTTTAGTAGCCCTAAAAGTCCTCTCCAGTTATGGTTATTGACAAATAATTACATAGTTTCCTCCCATTAAAAGGTAGGAAACTAGTGAAATCTATAATGTAAATCCTAATTAGTATAATGGCATTGAAAAAAAAAATCCTTAACCATTCAGATTTTCCGTGGAAGTATTAAAAATATTTTCATGTTTTGAAAAAGGGATTTGCTAGGCATTTTTATTCATTTATAAGAAAGAATAAAAAATCTTAGTGGCTTAGATTAAAACAGTGGAAAGAAGATTGGGTCACAAGCTTACAATCTAAAAAAAAATTGAAGAAGAAAAATAATAATTTCTGGTATCATTTCATGAAGTGAAGTAGATAGAGACCTTCCAAACATCTCTCAACTTCATGAACACACCTGATGGCAAGAAATAGCTTGCTGCTGCCGCATTTAAATCCAGTCTAATCTGCAGCCCTTGTACTTGTTAATAAAGCCCGCCTATCAATACATCTTATGAGAGTAATGTGTTGAAAATACCCCAAATAGGGGTACATAAAATTAGGTGACACTTTATATAAGTCATGCCAACAACATAATTACTTCATTGGCTTATTGTGAATAGAAAGAATGAAAGAAAAACTTGAAAAATGACATACAAATGAACCGAAAGAAGTGCTTTAAAACTTACATAACTATAGTTTTTTTTTAAAAGGCAGAGTTCTTTATTGAATAGTATACAAACAGTGTGCTTGCACCACTTCTGATTACAGGACCATTCTTCAACAACCGTTCAAACTTATGACAGTGCTGAACAAATGGTGGTTACAATCAGTCCTTCAGGTTCAGGCTGTCCCATCACACACACCCCACGGTCATATGATTTGGGGACTTGACAACTGGTTTTTCACTTACAACTGGTGACAGTAGTGTGCGATTACCTGATTGCCATTTGCAACCTTCACTGCTACCTTACTCAGAAAGTAAATGGTGAAGCCAGGAGGGAAGGCTGTAAAGTGCTGGGCTTAATCTCACCCACCTACCCATGGTCCCCCACCTCTTCTTTGCTTCCACCGCATCACACCCTCCCTGACCAGTGCTATGCCTCTCACCCATTTGCCCCCCTCTGAAATCCTGTGCACTCAACCTGTGCTGCATTACCTTTGTACCTCCTTGACTCTTTCTCCCACCCTGCACACTCTCCTCACTTCCTGCTCCACCTGGCATTGTCTGTCTGCTCATCTGGGACTTGCAACTTTCTGCCAGCTTCCTATTGACTTTGGTTATGGGAAGCGGGTAGGAAGTTGCCTCACCTAATGATAATGGAGTTTGGTTAATGATTGCTGCAGGGACTGCAGGGATTGCCATCACTAAGTGGCACATTGCTTAACAATGGAAATTATGATCCCAATTGCCATTGTAAGTCAAGGACTACCTGTACTTACAAAATATTTTTGAAACATGCCAAGGTAACTGCAGGGAGCAGTCCAAGCAGTCATGAGGTGTTCAAACTGACTCAAAGGGCACTCACCCCTCCAAAAAAACCCCCCAGGTCTATTAAATCAAGTTTAAGTAGTTTTTTAATAGAAGTTTTGTACTTCTATAAACTTGCTGAAACATACATCTTGTCTTCAAATGGTCCCCATTTTGATTCCAAATGAGATGTAAATAAAGCCAATTACCAAGACCCAAAACTGCATGTACTTTGTGCAGAAACTAACAATGGTGAAAAACACATTTTTGGATAAAGTAAATCATATAGATGGCTATTTCCTACTTCATTTTAGTTTTTGTAGATGCTACAGACTATATATGAGTGTAGTTGAAGACTCATTATAATATATTGTTATTATATATTCAAGCAATATTCATAATAGAAGAATTATAGTGTTAAAGAATTGTCAAATATGGTGAGCTATGTAAGAGATAAGGTTTTTATGTACTGTGATATTTTAGGTGCCTTGCATACTATGCTCATCTAAATATAGCATTACATAAAGAATATAAAATTATATAAAGTAAAGAGATCTGATGTCAGGATGTATCAGATTTTTTTTTTTAAAAAAAAAATCTAATTAAGTAAGATTAAACTAAATGTTGAAGAGCTTGTTAATGTAAATTTTCAAAGATTCTAAAATCTAGATTTTGATTTTTCTGTCTCTAGATTCCTAACAGACTATATTAATTTGCTACAAAGTTGCTGTAAAAGGAAAATATTTTTGTAATTGTTATTTGCTTCAAATTCATATTTTTTGCTGCATATTTTGAAAGGGACTTTCTTGCTTTCTTCAATATTTGCTTAAGATCCCTCATATAGGCATGGCGGTAGAGACAGAATCCTCTGCAGATGCAGTAAAGTTCTGTAGCAACATACATAATTTGATGTATTATCATATATATGGCAGAAATTATATATAAGTATTTTTTGTGATATTTGTGTTCGGATATTTCACCAGATTTTAAAATAAGTTCTCTCTCTCTCTCTCTCTCTCTCTCTCTCTCTCTCTCTCTCTCTCTGTGTGTGTGTGTGTGTGTGTGTGTGTGTGTAAATTTTGGGTGTTTGAACTAGTAGTATAAACTTTAATTGGTAACTATTATTTTAAAAGTAATTCAGCCAAGTTACAATATTATATTATTTTAACTTTGTTTCTGAGCCATGGTAGTGCAGTGATTAGAATGCAGTATTGCAGGCAAATTCTGCCCGCTGCCAGAAGTTCAATCCTGACTGGCTCAAGGTTGACTCAACCTTCCATCCTTCCGAGGTCGGTAAAATGAAGACCCAGATTGTTGGGGGCAATATGCTGACATTTGTAAACCGCTCAGAGAATGCTCTAAAGCAGTATGGAGCCATATATAGGTCTAAGTGCTATAGCTATTGTAGCTTAACAGTTGTTTAACATTAGAAATTTGTTCATAACAGTAGTTATTAAAAATGTGCTAACAGGTTATTTTATATCTGTGATCAAACAGCAAAATTCCAATAGCTAATAGAAGAATAGCATGTCCAAGGATTGAAATCCAACAGTCTTCCACAGATACTGACAGGTATTCTCAGTAAAAAGTATTTGGCTTAGTATTTGGCTTGTGACTCCTAGGCATAATTTGTGTGTTTTTTCTTGTAGTGCTTCTATTGTCTCTAGAAATAGAGAACGCTGTATGTGATCAGTCAAATGCACCATAAGTTGCTGCATTTTAATGTTTTTATTTGACATTCATTGCTTTTATTGTTTAATTTGAACATTAGGTATCATGCACAGAAAACAAAATGCAGTGCAAAAAAAGGCAGATAAATATTTTTGAAAAGCAATGAATTGTTCCTATGGTTTCATCTTTGTGCTTCCTGTTTGTTTAGTTTAGGAGTCTATACTTTAAAAACTTTGGCCTTGATGAATTCAACTTCATTGTACTTATTCTTTTGTGTCTGCAATCTTCTACTTAGGTAAAAATAATATAAATAATGTAAAGCTCAAGTAATCTCCATTGTTTTATTTCAACATTAGCAAAGTAATTTTGCAAATTCATTTCTTTGCATGAGACATTTTAGCTAAAAATATTTTTTTTAACTAATTTCATTTAATTCTTTTGAAGGACTTGGCGAATGACTAAATCCTAGGTTCCAAATGACTTTTAGTCTATTAAAACTATACATATTTTATATGCTCAGTTAAAAAGTATGGATATGTACAGTACTATTTTCCTGTTATTATATAGATCTTCAACCATCTGACAAGAAAATTGAATGTGGAAACAATTTTCATAATGCAAAAAATTAACTGTGACTACTTTATGTTTTTATTCTTACATAGCTTTTAGTCATTAGTCAAACTAAATTATGAATGAATCGATAGGATTTAAATTCAATTTATATTGTTGGAAAGCATTTCTTTTAGTCCCCTGAGACTCCATTCTTCTGGGCTAACTTATACAAAGAGGGACCCAACCTAGCATTAAAATCTCCTAGTAGAACCACTATGAACTGAGGGTACAATGCGTATATATTGTCTAGGATAACTTCCAGACCCATCCAGTATCCAAAGTTATAATACCGGGATGTGTTTGGAGGGATATACACATTTACCAGTATTAACTCAAACTCTTTATATCCAAATTTAACAGCTAGGAAATATGAATACTTGTCTACATTGTATAATTTATCCCCCTGCCATTGCAATTCTTGCTTTATAAGAATGCATAACCCACCAGAGGGTTTCCCTTTGTTTTTTGTTTTTTGGACTGAGGAAGTCCATTCCTGGAAGCCTGGCAGTTGTACTGGTTCATCCATTTCGATTAACCAGGATTCCTGAAAAGCTATTACATCAAATCTAGAGAGGAAATTCATTAGACCACCATCAACCATCCCTTTCCAGCCAGCCACATTCCAAGTCAGCATCTGTATGGGTTTCCCAGGGGCAAAGTGGTCTGGCTTGGTTGATTGGCTAGGTGGTAGAAATGCCAGGTGTTAACTTGACTTTGGAGCTGGGTTGATATCAACTATGCTTCCCATATAAACACAGTTATTGTGAGGTTCAATATTTCTCCTCGTGGGTTGCAGAGCTTTTTGCAGAAATTAGAATGCCTACATTCAGGGAACTGTCTGCCAGTTGGTAACTTGCTGCGGGTAGCCTTGCTCAGATCTGCAACTGAATAGAGTTGGTCTAGTGGTGAAGGCACCAGGTTAGTGCCAGGAGTCTAGCACTGCCTTAGGAATAAAAGTTGGCTAGGTAATTTTGGGTCAGTCACTCTCTCTCAGTCCATCTTGCTTCACAGCCTTGTTGTTGGGGGAGAATAAAAGAGGAGAGAATATTAGGTATGTTCACCAGCTTGAGTTATTTTATAAAAATAATAAAGGCAGGATAAAAATAAATAAATTATAATTAAATATATTCCCTTCTCCCATGTTAAGGAAATGTTCAAAATTCTTTTATAGTGTTCTCCTGTGCTAGTTGCGGGGGTATCTCTCCTTCCTATACACCTTTGATATTGGCATGTCAAGAGCTATATAATTTAACTCATGCAGTTTATTTGTGCTTAAGCTATTTTAGGAATACAGGGATTCAGAATATAGGCATTCCGAATCTTTTACCAATAAAACTCCCAGTCACTTTATTGGTAGTGATCTGTTGTTTGACTAAAATCTGTCTTTAAAAGGCTGATTCTAGATAACCTGCCTCCTTGATACTTAGCCCTTCCTTGCTGATTGTATGATCAAACGTGTCTGCCTGTTTGGAGCATAAAGTGAAACTATTGTTTTGATTTTTTCTGTGAGGCCTTCATGTACAATCAAATGGAAGGAACATTAATCAGTTGTTGATTTGGATTTGCAAAAAGATAGATTGAAGGTGTTGAACTTTTGCAATAGAGAGCTCTTTTGTGTATCTTTATTTATATCTATGTTATCTATATCAGTATCAGTATCTGTTCCTCCTAAGAAGACCTTTACTTTAATGAGGTTTGATGTCTTATTTTCTAAAATGCTTGAAGGAAGACACAGTGCTCCTAACATATTACTGCACTGTCCTTTTTACTATATCTAGCACTCCGAATAATACCTCTTTACTAACTGTTTTAGTAGGCATTAAGATGAAGTATAGGTAGTCCTCGACTTGTGATCACAAATGGATCTTGCTAAGCAAGATAGTTCTTAAGTGAAAAATTAGCCGAAATCTAGAACACATGACTGTGGGGATACTATGGTAATTGTAAGTGAGAGGACCAATTGTAAGTCACTATTTTCAGTGCCATTCAAATGGTCACTAAAGGAATTGTTGTAAGTCAAGGACTACTTGTAATATATTTTTATCACATGATCAGTTCTTCTTTATCACATGATCAGTTCTATCTTCATGAAAATAGCTACATTTCATTCGGTTGAAATTTGCATCAGCAAGCAAGAATTTGACCCTAGGGTCTCTTCTATATTATTTTATTGTAGTGTTTTTTTTAAATGAATGTGTATCACTTCTGTATATATTCATCTCTCACTTTTTTTCTTTTTAAATAAATAAGCAATAACATTGTAGCACATTTTTAGTCGCTTTAAAAAAACCTAAACAAACTTTATTTATCAAATGAGATACTTCCCCCCTGCATTGAGTTTCTCTAGATGAAGCTTTACTGTCATAAAGCAAGTATGCAAAATTCAAATCAATGCTATACCTAAAGGATAACTTTAGAAACACATTTTGCAATTTTATAACCTCTTGGTAATACAACTATCTAGTGTTCTTTTGCTCTCCTTAATACTAAAGTTAAACTTGGTTTTCTGTATAGGTAAAACTCTAAATCCTCAGTTGAAGCTATGTTCATGAATCAAAATAAATATATGACAGTATTTAATTGTTTTCTCAGTCAATATGTTATCTTTACTGTATTGAGGGAAAACGTTACAGATTTTAAGGATCTTTTAATAACATACACACTATACACACTGTAAAAATCCTATTATATTATAGAACCAGTATGCAGCCATTACCTAAAATTAATTTCTGCTACAGCAATTTTGGATAATGGTTTGAAAATTCTTCATGTCTTTCCATGTGGTTTCTTGGATGTCCTTGAATCTGATGTGTTTGATCTTTTTGCGCAAAAGTACAGCTTATGCCATATGTGCATATATCAAATACTATGTTCAATAACAAATGCATTTGTTCTCATTTAAAACTGTTTAATTCTTGCTACAGTTATACCTGACAGTTAAACTAATACACAGTAAATGAGAAATGTTATTTAGGATTTTTAAAATCCTTTGTTCATATTTAGTGATTCTGTTGAAATGAGCCACCATAAATAACTTCTGACAGACAGCAATTATATGGAAAAATGATTTTTTAAAAATATTAATCTGTTTAATATTTATAGAGAACTGCATCTTTTCTTTTGAATTCTGAATTATCCCAAAATAGTAATGCAATTCAATGCAAAATTATTAGATTTTATTGCACTGCATAAACTGTCTAAATAATTTTCTTCACATAACCATTTTAAGGAAGTATACTTCTTTATACCCACTTAATATTAGCAAGAAGAAAACTTTAAAAAGTTATTAAAATTAGTTTATGTTGGATAGCTCCAAATCCAATTTGCTGCAGCATAATGCATAACCACAGATAAAAGTCATTTGAGCTGCTTTTTGACTAACATTACAGGAATTGGGAACCTAGACTACCATATCAAAGATCCAGATCAACAGAACAGCGTCCAGTGCTAGAGCGGCCCAGCCCCCGCTCCCGATCCACTGAGCGTCCTGAGTCAAACCTCATGAGATCGATGCCTTCATTAATGACTGGAAGATCTGCCCCTCCCTCACCTGCATTATCGAGGTGAAACAGATGGATTAATCCTGCCCCACCAGCTCACTTTTTTATTTTCCAAAAACTTCAATAATATTTCCTTTCATCATTGGCTGATCACTAGTAGTTGTAGATACTAACCCTGCCAACATCAATACACTACTTATATTCCATTGGGATATAATGGTGTAGCTGCCATTGTAATTTGTTTACTAACAATAATTAATAACAATTACTTACATTTGTTTGTGATTTCTCATTTATTAGGAATCCTGTGTGATTTCTTACTCTCAAACACTTCATAATTATCATGTATTTCTCTTACAGAACAAGTAATTAAATGTGATCATCAGACATCGCTTATGGAATAATAATCATAACATCAAATGATACTTTAAAAATAATTTCTTAAATTTGTACTAATTTGATATATTAATCACTGCTTTCTCTTATTTGCTGTGTGCATGTTTTTGCATTTTGTCTTGTTTTGGTGATGTATTTTATTCATGATTAAACAGTATTGATTTATTTAGGTTTGTTTTTTGTTTTTGTTTTTTTGTTTTTTTACAAATAGTGGAATGAAGTTGGAGAAGATATGTCCAAATCAGATTATTGTCTGGCTTCTTTGCTTTTCTATTGTGAATATAACAATCAGTAACAATTATATTATTTCATTTCACACATTGAAATATACTTTTGATTTATTGCCTGTCATCATCTCACTGTTAGTTGGAATTTGAAATGTTTGTTAGTTGAATATGGAAATAGTCATATTTATACATATACTTCTTTTTTATTTTATTTCAGTATGTCTCAGTATGCATATACCTCTACATATATTTTTATATGGTTAATAGATGCAGTTACAAAAATATATTTTTGTGCCATCTTTTCAATATTGTTCCCCTTAGTTTCCAGATAAACCTATCTTACTGGTAACTATGCTTTTTAAAATCATTAAGGTTGAACGGTCATCATTTCAATTAAAGTTCAACATGCACAAAAGTCATTAATCATTCCTTTGTTGTCAAACTACATAAGAATAAATATATGTTGTAATTGATGGTTTCTCTTGATGTGTATCCTGTAGGTCACATGCTCATTCGGGGTCAGTCCAAACAAGCCCATCAAGTACTCCGGTGGCAGGACGCAGGGGTAGACAGTTGCCACAACTCCCACCAAAAGGAACCCTGGAGAGAAGTAAGTGAGCATTTTAAATTAAAAGAAATTATAAGAAGTTAAAAAAAGAAAATAGTTTTAAATTTTAAAATCATTTGAATTTTAATTCGTCTTATTTCCAGAGCTCTGAAAATGTAGGTTAGAATTTTATCTTTAAAATGGCATTACTACTGTGTTGTAGAGGGCTGCAAATGCTTATTGATTTCATTCAATTTATAGGAATTTGGATTATGCAGGATTGTTGTACTATAGGAGCCATATAAATATTGTAACAGTGAAAATAACGTATGAATAATGTATGTATATATCACGGCTAAAATTTATGAAGCAGGTTTTGATACTGTACCTGCAATGGATCACATGTGCAGTGGTGGGATTCAAATATGTGAACAACTGGTTCTCTGTGTGGATGCCGCTTCCGGAAGTCCATTCTGGACCTGAGCAACAAAAAATTAGCTACCGGTTCTGCCGAAGTGGTGCGAACTGGCTGAATCCCTCAACATAAATTTTTAATCTCTTAATTTTTTTAAAAAAATGTGGTTTTCCACCTCCTTATAGACTCTATCATAATACAGGCTCTTGTCTATAAAGACATTAAAAAAAACCTGCTTAAAAATCACACGGAGCCACTGTGTATATCACAAAAGAACATAGAATCATAGAGCCGAAAGGGGCCTCCAAGATCTTCTAGTTTAACTGCCTGCTCAAGGCAGGATTATACTCTCCCAGTCAAAGGGTTGTCCAATTATTAACATGGATTATTTCCCATGCATTTTATGAGATGTTTCATTTGTTTTGTATATTACAGTGGTATAATTTAATTCCCTGAAATAGATAAATTCAGAGGACCCTTAAACTCACTTTGCATTTCGCTTTGTCTTTTTTGTTTGAAAATGTTTTTACAACTGTTAAATGTTATGTCGTATAAAAATATAAATATTTCCATTAGAAATAAATAATTATAAGAAAATTACATTTTTAATTTATTAAAAAATTAAAGTATACATTCCTTTGTAAATAAGAATGTTATAATAGCATCATGGCCATAATACAGGTAGTATTATCTACCTTTATCCTCGACTTACAACCACAATTAAGCCCAAAATTTCCATTGCTAAGCAGCACAGTTGTTAAGTGAGTTTTGCCCCATTTTATGATCATTTCTTGCCACAGTTCAGTGAGTCACTGCAGTTGTTAAGTTAGTAACATGGTTGTTTAATTAATCTGATTTTCCTATTGACTTTCCTTACCAAAGGGTCGCAAAAGGTGATCACATGATTCCGAGACATTGCAACCATCATAAATACATGCCAGTTGCCAAGTGTCCAAACTTTGATCACATGACCATGGGCTTGTTGCAGTGGTGTAAGTGTGAAAAATGGTCATAAGTTACTTATTCAGTGCTGTTGTGACTTCGAATAGTCAGTAAACGAATGGTTGTAAGTCGAAGACTCCCTGAATACACAGAATTCCTTAAAAGATGTAGATTATCAGAATCCCTCTCAATCAGGATTCAGGCTTATTTATTCAATTTATATGGGCACCCATCTCAAACCTTTTACTCTAGATGGCTAACATGGAATAAAAATAAAATAAGAACATCTTAGCACAACAATAAATAATAAATGTAGAGTAAGAGCCAAGATAAAATCAGCAATGTATACAACATATTCATGATACAGTCTCAATTACATGCCACAGGTTTTAAAACCAGGTTTTAAGAGCCTTACGGAAAGCCAACAGGGTCAGGGCAAGTAGAGTCCCCAGAGGAAAAACGTTCCACATGGTGGGCTCCATGATACAAAAAGCTCTCCTTCGGGGATTAGTCAGATGACATTTATAGATGTGACCTGGAGCATCTCTCTAGGTGTCCTAGATGTCCTCCTAGATGTCACAGGACAAGTAGATATAATTTGGGTGAGATGCTCCCATAAGTAATCAAGCCCTATGACATGAAGGGCTTTATAGGTTACAACCTGCTACTTGAATTAAGCCCGGAAACATATAGAAAAGAGATGTCACAGGTGCTAAATGAAAAGCATCCACAACTGCCTTTGCTGCTGTATTTTGCACCAGCTATATATGCTCTATAAGGGCAGCCCCATCCATTGCAGTAGTCCAGTTGGAAGTTGATCACAACAGGAGTGACTGTGAGCAGAGCCCGGTCAAGGAACAATCAGTGCACAACATATAGCTGTACCAAAGCTCTCCTAGCCATTGCTGACATTGCTTTTTGAATAGGAGCTTCAAATCCAAGAGTACTCCAAATTACACATAGGTTCTATCTGGGGTAATACAGCCCCCATCCAGAACAAGAAGTGAAATGACTCCAGAATCCAGAGGTACTAAAACCCAAAGCCACTTGAGTTGAAACCTGTTGTTCCCTATCCGGACCCCCACACCCTACAAACAAGGACAGGATGTCCACATCATCATTGGATGGCCCAGGGTGGAGATATCCTCACCCAAAACATCAGATGACATTACCCAGCAGTTTAAATGTTAAAAATGTTAAATAGGAGAGGAGAGAGTATCAGTCCTTGCAGCACCTCACTAAACAGAGTCGGTGGGCTAGATCAGCATAAGTGCTTAGATATCAGTTCCAGTCTGTAGTTATAGAAGTCAGCTTGGGGGTTCCTCACCTTTAAGTACCATAAGGTTTGATTTTACCTCACCCATTGTACGTCATGTGAAAGAAGCTACTAGGCCATCAAGTAAGATCAAGACTAGACTGAGACAGAAACAGAGCAGAGATACTGCAAAAATAGTTGGTTACTGTCATTTTATTGAAATAAAGTTATTCTGTACAGCTATGCCAGCATTACTCTCACTCTAGCATGCATTGTTGTCAAGTACACAAAATTTGGTTATAAATGCATGCATTAGTTAGAAAATTATTTTTTTAATTACCATTGTATGTGCAAACTTTCACTAACCAAGGTAATCACTAAATAGTGGGTGTACTGCAGTGTGGTATATTTGAAAGTGAAAACTCCTTGGAAACTACAATTTGCACAAAATGCAGTTGTCTGTTTAGAAAGTGGGCATTACGTAGCAGCTATATTTCACATCTGTGCTACAGATGCTTCACTTATTGCCAATAAATTTCTAGATGCATGTAAAATTCTAGTTTTGGTCTATAAGTCCCTATATAGCTTGCTGCTTAGAAACTTGCAGGGCTGCCTTCTTCACCAGAATTTGCCTTTTAGCATGCTCATCTCAGGCCAAGTGCTTGGTTATAACTCATTTGAAGGGAGCTGAAGCTAGAAGGCATTTTCCTGTTGTAGCCCCTTTCTTATAGATCAGGCTACTCTTGGAAGTGAGTCTCACCTCATCTGTTACAGCATGCTGGAAGTAAATAAAGGTAGAGCATTTTTGGAGGGTGTCCAATAATTAATACCTGATATCGTGTTTACTAATTTTATTACTTTTTAATAATGACTTCTATAGGAATTATTTTTATTATTTCATTATGATGTGATTTTTAGAATAGTTTTGGATTATTATAGAGGTTTGAATGGCTTTTGTTGATATTTTTCATAAGTGTTTTAATGGTTGATTTACAATTATAAATATGTGGATCTCTGGCAGATATTACTAAAGAAATAAATAAAGTATATATTTCATCCACATACTTGCTATGACACAAAAGCTGATAACAAAGGTTTCCCAACCCATTGGAGAGATATTTGGGGAAATTAAGGGGGTTGCTAGGAGCCATTCATCTGCTTCTAACATTTGTCTTTGTGCAACCTATTTTAATGAAGACATGTTTCTTGCATAGTCTATGTTGCATTACAAATGATAAATACATAAAGTAATATTAGCAACTCTGTTAAAAATCACTACTGAAATTCAGTGGTAACTTATTTAGCTAATTTATTTTCTTGTTTTGGAAATTAAAATTGTAGAATGCTATTGAAAATGTAAAAAATGGGATACTTTGTGACATACTAATGAATAGAAAAGTCTAAACTATTAATTAAGTGTTGATTTTATCTCTGGCTAAAACATAATTTTAATTTGAAATAAAATACTATAACTAGTGATGTGTCAAACTGATAGCACTCTGTGATAATGCTTGGAAAAGCCGTTTGTTTTTCCAGTTAGGGAAAACCAGTGAAAACTGGAATTTTGTGTTATATTTAACAAATTACCATAAAGATGTTGCCTTTGCTTTAGTGAGTCAGAATTTGTAGAGGTCTAATCTGATCATGCTCCATATCTCTTTGAGGATATATATTGTCTACTTGCAACATAATGTAATATGGATTGTGTAAATAAATATATAAATGAATTGCCTTGTTAAACGTCTAGTAAGAAATTACAGTCAGTATGT